GCAGTGTTATTCAGTTACATATTCCTCCACAACTTTAGGCCCCTTAGATTGAACCAAGCTTGTGAAAGCAGCGTGCCTTTGTGGTTGGGGTCCTCCATATGTACTCCCTCTGTCTCACAAAGACTTCAATTTTAAGACGAAGTTGACAAATTAGTGATGAGGGTAAAAGACCAAAATGCCCCTCATTAATAAGAAAATAGTGCTGCGGAGTAATAGGTAAGAGGAAATTAAGAGTTATTGAAGAGATAAAACTTTTCGATTTACGGAACTAGAGTAGATTAAAAGATAAAAATAAAGTCTTTTGGGGACAAGAGTTGGAGCACTTAGAAATGAAGTCTTTCTGAGATCGATGGGGTACATTGTGTGGCACAAATTGGCACCTAGCTACCACCCAATCTATACCTGTCCATGCAAAGGATCAAGAAAGGGAAAGTAAAGGTGAGGCAGAGATGACACCTTGACAACTGACATTGCCTGCTGCATTATGTTTGCTGATTAATTGCTTGTATTCTTTGGCCAATTATTGCATTGTGAGTGGGACAAAAGGCTCATCCTATGTGTCTGCAAGGACACTGTTTCATATCATCCTTCTCTGCATCTACAGATGAAAACCTGCACTTTTTTCAGCAAAAAAACCACTAGTTGCTACCTAGAACCCAATTGCTTGGTGGTTCAAGCTAGGCCATCATTTGATGATCACTAACCAAGTCAACGCCTATCTCATTGACATGTGCATGTCACTGCTGCTCAGCTAGCCTCTGATCCTGACTGTATCTTGCTTCTTGTTAATTAATAGTACTGTTTAAAATAGTATCTTTCAGAGAGAGAGATGCAAATATAATCTCGAGATCTTTGCAAGTAACCATTTCATTAATAAAAAAAATAGACTGCTTCTCTGATTCTGGATGACAAAACAAGTGGTGCCAATTATTCTTCTGGCACATATTGTCAAAGAGTTTGGCTTCAGACTTGAGTGCACGAAGTGTCCTCCTCATAATGATCAGCGTTTAACTAACAAGGTTGAAGCTTTGCAACTGATAAATTATTATATTGGCAAATTGGCAATGAGGTTATCCAAGACTTCGCCTCTCTTTCTCATCTCCGTGTCTTATTTTTCTCTACCTGCTTGATTCGACAAAGTAGATGCGTGAGCCAATCTAAGTGTATGACTACGTGTTGCGCTCTTGGGTAATCACGGACTGGTGATAACAAATGGTGATTAATTACAGTGTAAAAGGCTGTTTTTATCTGAGTGGGAGCTCATACACATGTGACGTCATCTTTTTTTTAATAAAATGGATATTCTGGCCTTTACTTCAACGAAGCTACAACCAATTAGTGCAGTTGTATAACTATCAAGCGTTTTTTTTTAAAAAAAATAACCTTCTGAAGAAAAAATAAAATTGAATGTTAGGCTAAATTAAACATATACTTTGCTAATTTGACCTAAAATAATGCCAATCATAGTATCACTCGACACAATTAATATGTTTAATTCCCTGAATCTGCCACTGGAGACTGGTGAATTTTTGAAAGGTTAAATTAACAGTTTAATTCATGCGAGAATTTGCAAGTTTCCTGAATCTGTCACCTGGTGCCTCTTCAGTAACGCAAGTTGCAAAATTTATAAAGCATCAAATGCAAGGAATCGCCGAATGGTGCAGCCAGATGGCCAAATTCTATTGTGCTCAGCACTTATCACTTTTGCACACGAAATCTCATCACCAAAATCACAGAAAAAAATGTTCACCTCTCATCTGCCTGCGTCGGCTTCTGAGGCCGCATCTAGTCATTGATCAACAAGCAACCATCACAATGAGACATCCAGCATTATCTTAAGACCTAATTGAGTAATTGTTATGTTTAACTAGTTCTTGGCCTCTTTTTGGTAGTAGAATAAATTATCAAATTGCACTCTAGCTTGCTCATTGTATGACACTTTTGATCCTAACTCAGGCCATGTTTGATGAGGCGGTCCCTACTCCATGCTGATGACACACCAAACTGCATGCACTACTTATTTTGTCGATTACATGGAAGAAAACTGCACTACATTAATCTTGTGCATATAATAGTAAACTCTTATGGTTTCAGTTATTTTCTTTGAGTGATTTTACAATATTTGAGAGGCATCATAAAATTTGAAGCCTTCCAGGACCTTGTATATCATAATGAACCAAATTTATATTAGAAAAGATGATACCATATGTTACCTTCTTTCATAAGTACTATAACATTTCTCATTTTCCTTTGTAAGACCCAATTTAGATCCTGCTACATTTATACCTTGGAAACAATTATCAATTTGGAGATTCCTCTAATTTCACTGACTCCAATTGAAATGACAGAATATATTGACTAACTTCCCAAGTTTTACTGACTATTTTGTGTTCCCAAATTACACAAAATCTATCTATCTATCTCTCTCTCTCTCTAAAAGAAGTATCATGTAATATTGCATTGCTTCTTGCAAAATATCTATGTTCCAAGTAGCTAGGCTTGTATGTATAATGTATTCGTCAAAGTGTATATATGTGGTCCAAAATCTAGGTGTCTAAAGTTCTATATTCCCTAGCAAGTTGCAAATACATACATATATGGTATACATGCATGCATGATGCATATATTGATGTAGCCATGAATGATTGCATATATACAAGCACAATAGTGATGTGAGAATCTTAGTCATGCAGCACCACTCTTTATTAACTTCTCTCTAGTGAAATAGAACCCCTCTCACCACCTGAGGCTCCACTCTTTCTTTCTTTTAGCTAATGCTTTCGAAACCTTTTTTTTTTCTTTCCTTGGTCCCATGCAAATTCCTTTTCTCCTCCAAGTCTTTTCTCTCTTTTCCTGAGAAGAATCCATGCTGTTTATGGTTAACTTCATGTTGAACACAAGGTACTGACATTTCTTTTGGGCCAATCAAGCACTTTAGTGCAGCATCTGTAGAAGTGAGGCCAGACAATGAGACATGTGCTGATCTGGCTGAAGTTAATTAATTTCAGTGTTTATGGAATTAACTTCATTTTAATGATTATATGTATCATATTGAAAAAAAAGTAGTAAGGAAATGGGACTGTATAAACTCTGGTGGATAATGTAAATGTCACAAGATCATTTATTACATGCAAGGAAACATTTCTTCTCTCCATATTTCAATTAGTAATTAATAGTAATAGCCTTTAAATAAATGATAATATATGAGATCTTACCACCCAAGAGGTAAGAAAAATATTGGCCCTTGGATGACTGTAGAATGAATGGTTCACAAAGTTTTGGTGTACCACAAAAAAATCCCACTAGATCATTTATACAAGATATATAGAAATAATCATTACAAATTAAAACTTTTAAATTTGCACCTACAAATGAGTCCGGTCGTTTTGACTATAACTAATTATAAGTTGTAACGCTTATTAGCGACCAAAATATAATTTATGGGCAAAAATTTTACATATGTGTTGTTAGCATCTAAAAAGCCAATACTGAAAATAAAATATGGTAAAAAAAATCAAAATCAACTCTAAAGTTAAGTTTTGAAATTCAAATGTTGGTTGTGGATGATAAGCTAAAGAGCAAATAACCCACATAATTCACAGGGGAGTACTAGAGGTTACATGAATTCGACCCAGATGATAGAAGAGGTGTACATGAATAATAATAAAATGTATAATTCTCCTGCTCTCTCTCTCTCTCTCTCTCTCTCTCTCTCTCTCTCTCTATATATATATATATATATATATATATATATATATATATAAAATTCTAGGAAATTAGATCAAAATATATACAATTCATCGAGGATACTTGTAGGCCTCTATGGACAGGTCCACACTTGATAAAAAGGATGCATGGGTAAATAAACTTTTCTCAAAGCATTAAAAGCCACAAATAAAATCATGGGTACCACGAAAGAGCGGGAAATTAAGAAGAGGGAGTGGAAAATCAAGTTGTGCAAACCATGAAAGAAGAAAATTAAGGGGAAAACCCATACACATTCAAGACATTAAAGGAACTATGGGAACCAGAAAGAAATGTTGGATAGTGACAGAGGCAGCTGGCAGCTTTTGATAATGCTGCAATCAGCAATGGGCCCATTGCATTAGAGCCCTCATAATAAAAAACCATTGTGGTTTAATCAACTAATCACTGTTGATGAATTTGTTAATCCCTTGTGCATGCTTTACATCAGAGTATATCTTCTTTAATTAGGTCCAAAGGTGTGTTATCTTCTCTGGAGCCTCTAGCTAGAGCAAAGGAGAATGCTTCGTTGCCACGCACCAATCTATACTCCCTCTTGTAGTAGATAAAGAATGATGTTATCTGTTTTTCAATGTTGACAAAACATATCTTTGAACACTATATATTCTACTTTTTATATATTCGAAGAGGGACAATAACATAAAAAACACAATTTATTGATGACAAACTTACTCTGTCACATCCATTATTCCATATAAAAGGTTCAAATCTATATAGTTGATCAGAATAGTTAATTGCTTTGGCTACATACATTCTAGGATATAATTCTGTCATGAGTTGAGAGGAAGTACATGGCACTATCTTACTTCTTAGTTTAAGTTGAACTTACTCATTATATATCTTAAGTTGACAATGTGGTATGTTGTTTTGGTTGGGTTAATTAATTAGAATGTGTTATCTAATTAAAAAGAAACATCAGTAATTAACCTATACCTGGTAGGTATGTTGCTCATGATGATTTGCTATATATGGCACCTAAAAAGCAAACATGGATGAAGAACACCAGCAGTATCATGAACAGATAGCTGACAAAAGAGGGTGTAATTCTGTAAAGAGGCCTCTTTGTGATTACATGCTAGAAAAGGTAAGCTCCATTGCATGAGTTAAGGTGTTGAATCTAGTTAATCCTTCCTTGATCATTAATTAATACTTGCATCATGCATGCATATGGAATCAAGTAACATGAGAGTCCTTTGTATACTAGTACTACTATGAATCTTTCTCAATTTAAAATCTTGTGTAGATAAGCATGTCTTCATGAGCCTTCAGTTCAGTCAATGTGGCACAGTCAATGAAGAATTTAATTTGCTTCAAATTAAAGTATGGTCAAGTTTATTAGTGATCTAACACATCCTTAGCTAGCTGATTGTGTATGTGCTAATCAAAACAGTGAGATTCTGGAATAAGATGGCTGCTTGCTTGCTGCAAATCTGAAAACTAGTAATGATTACAAGGTGCCTTTGAAGGATTGCTTAATCAAGCAAGCTTCTCTAATTTTCCCTTTAAACTTTGGTGACTAGGTTAAGAGTAAGTATATATACTATCTTTTCTTAATCTGTCATTATACATGCCTTTCTGCCTAATCAGTGTGTAGTTGTGTGCACAGAGCTACTTAACCTCAAGCTTCACTTTTTTTTGCAGTGTGCATATGTGTAGTTCATCAGGTGCCAGTAGTAAATGGTACTTGAAAAGCCTTCTTCTTTTTTAACTTTTACACCACCAAAGTTACCATCTTTCTGGTAGTTAGGTGATCATGCATTATATTTACTGGTAACTTTGGACATATGCACCTGATTAGTTTACTAAAAGGAATAATTAGTGCATCCTAAGCTAGCATGAAGGCCCTGGTGATAACATTTCTTAGCAAAAGCAGCTCTGCAATTGGCTCTTCCTTTCTGAGGGGGAAAAAAGCAGGGGTGGCTCCTTATATAACCTTGGTACATGGTTTCATGTGGGCAAGTGGTGTTTGCCCTTTGGACCTCAGCAAGAGCACTTGCATATATGAGGAGCTCTTGAGCCATTTTTCTTCTTGCTCCATTTCTTGCTTGGTTGATTTGGTTCTTGTCTGGTCATCCTCACAGGAAAGGTACTACCTTGCTACTCGGTTTTTTATTTTGTTCAATTTATTCGGTTTACAGTTAGTTGTCGACTTTTTATTTGATTTCTTCAGTATAGTAATTTTATTTTGCACACTTCAACCACAAAAGGAGGTGTTTAAAATTTGGCCAATATCAGGTTACTTGGACTAGAAATTTTTTCGTCGCAAAAAGAAAAGAAGAAAAAAAGAAAAAGGAAGGACTAGTAGGTTTTTTTCCTTGCAGAGAAATGTGCCAATTTTTTTAAGGTTTATTTATATCACATTGTTCATCTCCATGCATGGCAAACATGAAGTAGAATGTTTTGCCTTGTAGTATATTATCACAATCTTCCTTGAAGAAAACTATACAGTGTCATAGCAAACTAAATCATAGCATCAGGATCTGTTTTTTTTTTCAGAATAGCAACAGCTCGCTGAAAATAAAAAGAACATGACTCATCATCTTTGTTTCTCCACAAGTATTTATGCTTCTATCAATTGTCAACAACCAAATGTAAAAAATTTCTTGTCACTAATATTTTTAGATAATTAATAGAAATATTACTTCCAGCCTCTGCACCAACTAGGATGCACACAATCATCTCCTTTTATAGACCATGGTATTTCCTAATCAATGGAACTCCATCTCTCCAGTTAGTAATTATATTCCTAAGAGGTTGAGAATGATCAAACATGTAAACCTATTTTAAGGATCATATCTTCTATAGGGTATTATACTAATATATCATGAGAGCATTTTTTTTTCCATATTCATGCATCACCACACATCTTTAGTCCATTGGTCACAGATGACGTACCGACAACTTTTTTGCTCTTATGTCATTCAGAAACAAGGGAAAAGAATATATCCCCTCTTCCTTTTAAAAGAGAAAACCTAATCTTTGTTGAATTTAAAATCGTTTAAGAATCTACACTTCCATGAAATACTACTCTACAAATCCTAGACTTGAAGCAGTAATCAAATAATAATCTACATTAAAAAATATACCAATAACACACATTATGCTTCAGGATCTATGTAGTTCTCTTTTTGGTGAAGGCACACCGCATATGTATCTCAAAAGTTGAATTGATTTTTCAATCTTTCTCTCTCTCACTTAAAAGAAAATATATGTTAGATATAAACGGTGATCAACTGAAGAATCATATGGAGCTTTACCCGGGATACCTTGAAGACCATTTCAACATCCACAAACTTAGGTAAGAATTTCTTAATTGGTGTTCCATTTATTATTATTTCTCTGTTCTAAAAAAAACCCATTGTTCCATTTGAATTTACACAAAAGAAATTAAGGTGATTCTGTAAAACCTTAGGCATGGCAAACAGAGTGGAATTAGCTTAATAATCTGATGCCTAATATATATACACTAGAGTAAAATGCACCAGCGGTTCTTAAACTTGTCAGCAGGTTTCGCTTAGGTCCACAAACTTGCAAAGCGCATATCGAGGTCCCTAAACTTAGTTTATTGTATTATCCCGGTCCAAAGCCGCGTTTGACCGTGGTCTTGCCTACGTGGCACACCACGTGGACGATGACATGGATTTTTATTTTATTTTTTCTCCCTTCTTCCTTCTTTTTTTCTCTTTCTTCCTTGTCGAAAAGATGAAAATGCCTCATACACATCATCGTCCATGTCATCGTCTTTTCATAAAAGAGAAAAGAGAAGGAAGAAGAGAGAAAAAATAAAAAAAAACCATGTCATCGTTCACGTGGCGTGCCACGTAGGCAAGACTACGGTCAAACGCGACTTTGGACCGGGATGATACAATAAACCAAGTTTAGGGGACCTCGATGTGCGCTTTATAAGTTCGTGGACCTAAGTGAAACCTGCTGACAAGTTTAAGAACCGCCGGTGCATTTTACTCTATACACTAAATTATAGAGTTGGTGCTAATAGTTCTTTAGCAGATCAAGTGGACTATTTACAAAAACAACAAAGTGAGGTCAGGTCCACCACAGTATTGGGGCTGTGCCCTTCTTTTGGAATCTTCATCTAGTGGTACAACATGGCTACATGGGAGTCCATAGAGAGGGAGATTTTTTTCGACATGTGTACGTGTATGCTCGTCCTTGGAGATTCACCTTACCTTTGAAATCTACACTTTGAAAAATTGATTGAACTAAAAACAAAGACCCATTCGTGGAGGTCTAAATAGTTGATTCGCCCTAATATTGAAGGTCTTCTAGGTCGTCAACTTCTTTCAAAATCCATAATCTCCCACAAAACAGATAGCGCGGCACCTAATATCTTATAACAAAACAGTTAAACCAAGGTGAACACTTGATTACTTTAAGAGACTAAAAGTAGGAGTCAACACTCAACTTGCATGACAATTACTTCTGAACAACACATCAACTATTACGTTAAAATAGAGATGATGATAAATCAAGGGATATAGTTTCCTCCAATAAAATGTCGAACTACATTCCTATCATCGTCACAGTCAGGAATATGGATATACTTTCCAGTGAAAATGATGAGGATGCCCTCGAATACCATCGCACGGCTGAAATTTTATGATAGATAATACATGATCCCTCATCAAGATAATTAAGCATAAAATCCTATGGCTCTAGATTATTGGAGTGGTACTAGATATGCATGTGGTTTCACAAACTACAAATCTATAAGCTAGAATAGAGGTTCATTTTGACCAGAATAGTGCAGAAAGCACTAGGAGTGGCTGCAAAGGAGATCCTGATTCCCTGGTGCCCTGGTGGCATGTTGTGGGGTCCACCCCCCACAAATAGTCAGATTCCAAGTGCCGCTAGTTAATTTGCTGACGACGCACTGACGGCTCAAACGTTGTGAGAGACGCATCATCGCCAACTAACTCAGAGCTAACTAATCAAAGTTGGTCCCAACCATTAAAAAAAGAGAGAAAAAGATTTTTCCTATCTTTACTACTCCATGACAATTATATATGTTGCCGTCCTTTCTGACAAAAGGGCTAGGTTTATGACTTTGGAAGCATGCAATTCGTGTGAAAAAGTTTATATTTCCACTTTCTAGTAAGTTATATTAGAAGTTGTTTTGGAGTGTATGAATTTTGAATTAGACCAATATCATGTCAATCATAACCTATGTGAGATATCCACGTTCCGAACAACCAGTTAGTGTGAAAGAAAGTACTTTGTTTGAACCGGTTTAATTATGAATAAATTACTCGGTTGACATATTTTAATCTTGAGTGTGGACCAAGGGAGAAATTAAAACAAAGACCATATATATTTGAAATAGAAACACATATAAATTTATTTTATTTATAAATAAATCATGACAATAAGCATGTAAACTAACATAATCAACTCAACTGATCTAAACATGAACACATTAAACATGCGAAACATGAGTGAGACATACCAACAGTCCTGGTTCTATTCAGGAAGAGGATTGTCTTGACGGGGAGTAACACGCACCGCATGTGCAATGTGTGCCTGGTGTTGGTGTCGATGCGCAATACCCGAACGTAGAGAAAGATGAGTTATTGGGAAAGACTAGCGATTACTCGCCCAGGGCGCTTTCCAGAAAACTTATCAGCGCCTTATCCCAGTAAAGGACATCGAAAGTGAAGGTTCTTTATCCTACACATATGGTAAAAAAACCTTTATCATTTTCTTAAGAATAATTCTTCACATGGGCTTTAGCCCACTCAGTAGTGTCAACAATATATGTGTGACAACTAATAATTAACCAAACAACCACCCCAAATGAAGCGCTTATTCAAAACACCATGTAAAATTCCTTGCTACATGTTTAAGAAAACATTTAAATACCAATAGCAATAACGATGGACGAGAATCATATGCGCATACATTTGCTGTGAGAAAAACTGCCATAAAATTACAATTTATAAATATATTACAATTAAAATAAATAGTGAACAAAGTTATGCTCTAATGATTATGCCCATATTAAAAAGACCTTTTTTAAGATCGACTTATTTTTACTGTTAGAAATATGATAACTAGGCATTTTAACCATCGAAGGGATGCCTATTATATCTGGGCCCACCCGCACGGCCAACCGGCCAAGCCACAGTCAGTGAGCCAGCCAATCGTACGGCCCCACTGTGCTGATGCGGGGTGACGCCAGCAATGACGACATGGTCCCCGCTGCCGTCACTGTCTCTACTCCACAAGATAAGCTAGTACTCCCTTCATCGCTGGCGATTATACTTATATTTATCAGCGGAAATTTAAATTTTCTATCTTAGATTTAAAGTTCATTTTAAGTTTTTTTATCGAAGTTTATTTTTCAGCTTTTGTTTTTGGATCACTAAGAACAAGTATTTTATTTACAAATTACTTTTCTATTGCAAATATGCCACGAATAAACTAAACGATGGGGTTGCTAGTATTGATACATTGTAATACTATATATGATCGTAGTATTATGACGTGTCAATATCTAGTAAATTGTTTTTTTAGACGGAGGAAGTACTATTCAACCTCTAAAATATGATGACGTGTCGCCATGAGAAGAAAAGCTTGAGTGCTTAGCTGCTGTTATTTCACGGTGGCCTGTCACCCTCGGGATGACGTGGATGCCGCCACGTCGGATCCCGCTTCTCCGTCGTTGTCTCGTCTCCTGCCGATGAGATCCACCGGCAAAACATGTGACCTCGCAATTGAAGACAAAAATGGTGTTTTTGTTTTTGTTTTTTAGTGTTCCTTTGGAAAGCTAGGATCTTACTCTACGTGATGAAACCCATGGAACTTCTTCTTTTGTTTACATGGTACCGGTCTAAGTAACGGTTTTACGTGCATGGATTTACTTTCCTTTTTTTTCTTTTCGTTACAAAAAAAATGCACGTACCAGTAACTAGTGCGTCTTTTTCATTCCGTCAAAATATGTCTTCTTCTGAATGGGATTGTGCCGTAACATTGATTTATCAATTTATAATGAGTTCAATAGGTATTTTTCTAACATATGAATACGCTATTCAACATTATTATTGGAAATAACATCGCTACACGTATTATTTTTTTTTACATAACTCTTAGAAAAGTCCTGACTGTTTGATTTAAATTAATGGGAATTAGAGAAAATTAATGTGCTCATAACATCACAGTACTAGTAAGAGTTTAGAATGTATATCCTTTTCCTATGAGCACACAATCCAAAATAGGTTGCACATGATATACCTAATGCCAATGGAGTATATACCATTGAACCAAATTTTGGTGTACGCATAAAAGTCTCTATTACTTTTGATAATGATAGCCACTAAAGCAATACTCCCATGTCTTAAATTATACTTCTTTCGTCTTAAAATAAATTTAATTTTCACCCATCCCACACATTAATACTACAGAACTAAAAAAAATTATAGCACTCCCACTTTATTAAATCCCAATACAATTATTTATTTCTTTATACTCTATACTTTCATAAATTCCGATAGAATGATTACTTAAAAATAAATATATTTTGAGATAGATGTGAGAAGAAAAAATGAGCTTATTATATGAACGGAGTAACTACTTATAATTATAAATCGAAACATGTATATGTACGGATTTGTATGCAAGAGCCAACCTAACTAAAATCCTAAATCCCCCTCTTGATAGTCAGAGCATTCACAAACAAAACTCAAACCCATCACTAAAATAACCTTAGTTTTATTTTTTTTTCAAAAAAAAAATTCACACAACTGATGTACCTAACGGTTGACAGAGTTACCGTACCCCCCACAAACTGGATCTACACGCAGCAACCGCCATCTCACCTCGGCCCCACCCATACTACCCACTCATTGCCACGTGGGCGCCCGCCTCTGGGCCCACCCAAGCGCCCTGTGCCCCCATGCGCCAGCGAGGCTTGCTGCGTCGTCTTCAGCCGTACTTTTATACCTCCAAAATCATTTATAGAAATCATTTATAGGAGTACTCCTTCCATGATTCCATAAAAAAAAAGACAATATAATATTAGAGGTGACATTTTCTGATACAACAAATTTGGACAAGCTTTCATCTAGAATCATTGTAATAGGAAATATCACATCCATTACTATAGAATGCCTTTTTTCGAGACGGAGGGGGTATATTTTAAGATGAAGAAAATATATGAGAAGCATTGAAAAAATATGCAAAATAAGATAAACTATTAGTGCCTAATTAATTAAATATTAATTATTATAAATTTTAAAAAGAATTAATTTAACTTTTTATATTTTTTAAAATACATCAGTCAGCAGTTTGAGATGCGTACTAGCGAAAAACGACGTTCTTTTTCTTCTCTTCAACTCTCAAACGCAGCCCCCACCACCGCTGACGCCATCACGTCGTCAGTGATAACGGCGACGGCGGAAGCGAACAAGGCGACACCCTTTCTGTGCCCCGTTTTGTCGTCTTTGGAAGCGACGCCGCCGTAGAGAGAGAAACTAGAGAGAGAGTGTAGTGTGTGAGTTGGTCCAGGCCAGCACGCAACAAAGCAATCAAATACTACTACGCGATATGAGAGAGAGGGATGCGTCGTCGCCATTAGCGGGGAGAGGAGCGGGAGAGAGCTCGTCGGGATTATTCCGAGCTCCATATCCATTGAACCGAACCAGCTCTGAGTGAGAGAGAGAGAGAGAGATCGGAGCTGTTGTTTCTTCTCGTTTCTTTGATTGGTGGCGGTGTTGAATTGAATTGAATTGATCGATCGATTGTTTCTTGGTGTGGTGGTGGCGGCGACGGCGAGCAGCGCGCCAAGGTACATGACCTCGGCGGCGCCGGCGGCCGCGCAGTTCGCTGCGCCGGCGCCGGCGGCGATGGGGATCTACGACCGCCGGCACCATCCCCTCGCCGCCGGCGTCTGGGGAGACCACCCCTTCATCCGCCCGGACACCACCGCCAGCACCAGCAACGCCGCCGCCGCCGCCATGGTCGTCGCGCCGCCGCCGCTAACAGAGCCCAAGTTCGAGAGCCAGGTAATTATTTATTTATTTATAATAATTAATTAACACAACAACCTCCATCATCTTGCTGATGTATTTCTTGAAAATCTTTGATTCGCTCTTGCTGTTGGATCAGCTAGCTCTGCCTCTGCAGCATGGAGACGATCAAGACAACGCTGCAGCTCTGCAAGAATCGCCGAGGCATGCGTCGGACAGCTTCGAGCAGGAGGCGTCCAAGCCTCGAGACAAGGTGGGACAAAATCTCTCTGACACAAGCTAGCTAAACTAATCGCCCGAAATTATTGCTAATTACGACTAGCTTAATTAGAATTAACAAACTATAATTCGATTGATTGTTCGTCCTTTTTCTCGATTAGATCCAGAGGCGGCTCGCGCAGAACAGAGAAGCAGCTCGCAAGAGCCGGCTACGGAAAAAGGTGAGCAAGCTCATGATCACATCACATTATTCGTCTCATTGTTCATGATTTTGTATTCAAAGATATGATTTAATTTAGGTTTGTTTGATTTTGTGACAGGCTTACATCCAGAACCTGGAGACGAGCCGGATGAAGCTGGCGCATCTGGAGCAGGAGATCACCCGAGCAAGGCAACAGGTAAGAACAAAAAAAAGAAAAAGAAAAAGAAAACCAGCTTGTGACGAGCAGATTCTTCTCCATGGCTGTCATTGCTGACGTATGGCTGAGCTATGCAGAGCGCGTACATCAACCGCAGCAGCAACCCAGCCACCCTACCAGCGCCCATCGATTCAGGTCAGCTTCTCTCCAAGAATCCATCGATTGATCGAGCTCGACAAGAATTGTGATGGAATTTTGTTGATTTGTTGTGTTCAGGTGTGGTGACGTTCGAGGTGGAGTACGCGCAGTGGGTGGAGGAGCAGGGGAGGCAGACGGCGGAGCTGAGGGCGTCGCTGCAGGCGGCGGCGGAGGGGCCGGAGCTCCGGGCGGTGGTGGAGGCGGCGCTGGCGCACTACGACAGGCTGTTCGCGGCGAAGCGTGAGGCGGCGAGGCGCGACGTGTTCTTCGTGATGTCCGGCGTGTGGCGCACCGGCGCCGAGCGGTTCTTCCTCTGGATCGCCGGGTTCCGCCCCTCCGAGGTGATCAGGGTGCTCGCGCCGCAGCTGGAGCCGATGACGGAGCGGCAGGCCGCCGACGTGCAGGGGCTCCAGCAGAAGGCGCGCCACCTCGAGGACGCGCTGTCGCAGGGCATGGACAAGCTGAAGCAGACGCTCGCCGACTCGCTGCTCGCCGAGGCCGTCGTCGTCTCCACCTCCTGCGACGCCTCGCCGCCGCCGCCGCCGCCGGAGGAGGAGGAGCCGTCGTCCTCCGCCGCCGGTGACGGCGGATGCTACATGGCGCAGATGGGGAGCGCCATGGGCAGGCTCAGCAACCTCGTCGCGTTCGTCGACCATGTACGCCATCGCCGATCACCACCACCTACCTCCCATCTCCATGTCCGACGACGAGCAGAGCTCGGCTGACATCTTGCTGATGACGTGCAGGCCGACCATCTCCGGCAGGAGACGCTGCAGAACATGTACAAGATCCTGACGCTGCCGCAGGCGGCGCGCGGGCTCCTCGCGCTCGGCGACTACTGCCAGCGCCTCCGCGCGCTCAGCTCGCTCTGGGCGGCGCGCCCGCGCGAGCCGGCGTAAAGCGAGCTGAGCTCGCCGCCGGCAACGGCCAGCCTGATCGATCACCGGAGGAGGAGCAAGATGTCGTCGCTGAGCTCGCCGGGGAAGACGACATGGAGCTCAAGTGGCTCAGTTTGAGTTCTCTGCATTTTCATTTGCAAGGACAGGAAAGAAATTAAACGGACGTGTTCACTTCATCATAGGATAGCAGCAGCAGCAGTAGCTAGGAGGAGGAGGAGGAGGAGGAGAATTTGAATTTGAATTTAAAAGACGTGTAAATATTTACTACAGTAATTAACTTGCTTGGGTAGTTATTTGCGTCGCTCAACTTGTAATTGCTGCCATTTCCATGGATAAAAAAAATGTCAGGGATGGTCATATGAAAAATTGGGAGTGATTCCAGGCGCCTGAAGTTTGAAAAAGATTCAGTCATTTTTTTAACCCTTGGGTGATAATTCAATAGTTCTTATCAGTTATCACTCCCCTATAACCTGTTACTTATAATTCTCCAATTGAACAAAAAAAATTATTCCAACATATAATTTTTACTTATAACTCGTAAAAATCTAAAAAACACATGCAAAATTTCAAACATATTAAAAAAATAGGGAAAAAAATCTGAACTAAAATTTCACATAGACTCTTATCGGTGAAATGGAAACCAGGGTACCCATTTATCTGGTAAAAGAATTATTATTAAATAAACAGCATGCTCAGAATGTCTTTGAAAATAAAAAGAAGACCCTAGGGTGACGTCAATAGGGGCCCTTTTTGGAGGGCCTCGGGCCCACCTAAGATTTCGTATACAGGGTTCCTCCTGGCTGAGTAAGAACGTTGCGTATATGGCTCAAAACTTTGAGTATACTAGAGGATGCCCCGCGTGTTGCTGCGAGACTTGGTTAACATCAATTTGTTAGATAGGAGGTATAATCTCAAGAAGAAACAAAAGAAACAAATAGCTTTTTTGAAGAAATTTTTTTTAGCAGCCCTATCCAAAATTTGTAGATAATTTAGGTAGCACATGTCAACTGAAGGAGCATTCAGCCATAAAGCTATTTTATACAGATTGACGACCTGGATACATGTAGATGTGTGTAGAGATGGGCCAATGTGTTTATATGGGCTACATTTGGCACTGAGGAGGCGAAGACTTCGCCCGGTGACTGATGGGTTAGGCTCTATGCTGCATTCCATCCAACGTCTGAGAAGCGATCTAATGCATTCATCCAATGGTTCACAATTTGATGATGACGTGGAAGCACGAGGTTTGAGCTTTTGGCCTTAAATTTATAGAAAGAAGGGATAAGTGGCTTGCAGCCTGGCTTGGGTCACAAGCATACCCCCAAACGTGCCTTAAGAGTATAGTTTAAGGTTAGCCTTGGGCTCGGCCCTGGGCCCCTTGCAGGTTCTATGATCCTCGGCAAGAGAGGCATAGAAACATGCAAGAGCTATATCTTAAGAAGATGAGCTAAGATCTGCCTCGGGCCCAGCCTAGCTCTGGGCCCTGGGCTTGCCTTAGCGCGTACAAGTCACACGTTGCACAAGGAAGAATGGTGATGAGGCTTGCTAAGCATAAAAGCGTGATCCAAGGTGTGCTTTGGCCTAGCCTTGCCTCAGGCCTTGGGCTCACCTTGGACCTTGTATAGCTCGCGTCCCTCGGCTTAGGCCCTGTTTGTTTCAGCTTATGATTATTATAATCTAGATTATTAAACCAGATTGCTATAAGCTGGATTATAATAAGCTGATATAAAATAAAGTTGTGAGTTGTTTGTTTGTCTGGATTATTGGAGGCATGGATTATTGGGTTTGAAAGACTAAAGTCTATAATACCCTCAGCTATCTGTTTGGTTGATGGCATAGGTGGGTAATTTTTCTCAAGTATGTAGGGGTAGTGGGTCTTTAGCCACTCAATAATCTGAAAAAAGCTCCTTTAGAGCAGCTTATTAGATTATAACAATCTGGCTTATAGATTATAATAATCTATTTGTTTGTTTCAGCTTACTCCTAATAAGTTAGATTATAATAATCCTAAGCTGAATCAAATAGGGCCTTAGAGGGGCGCCAGAAGATACAAGACGCACAATCTCAAGATATTCTTTCATCAAGAACGCCTTCGAGAAGCTCATCAAGGAATAATGAACCTTCTTTAAGCGCAGCACGGTGTGACCTTAGAAACTTCCGGGAAGTTGGACGTGCTCCACAGCCAACTGTAAGGCAGCACGCCCCACCATAAATGAAACAGGTTTATTGGGGGATCCCTGGGCAGTCTGAGTTGAAAGGACATGGACAAGACGCCAACGCTAAGTCACTTTGGACGGTGGCGCCTAGGACACGCGTCGCACATGCCTCGTGCCACTTGATTCAACCAAAGGGGCAGAGAAGTAACCGTGGCGCTGTTTCGGGAAGGTCGGGCCTCGTCAGGCCCACCACGCACCACGTGGTGAGCACATTGGCGGAGGCCCGCCCAACATTCTCAGACGAAGCCTAGGAGCCTAGGGTAATATGAACCGTAAGACTTGAAGGGTTTCTTGAGGGCTGCATTATGACACCAGCCGACAACAAGAAGAAGGTTGATGAGACAAGACCAAAGGAAAGATTTGTAATAATGTGAGCCCCTCATTGGACTATAAAAGGAAGGAGACTAGATACGGATGAAGGGTTGCTTTTTGCTAGGTCAGTACTTCCGCTTTGTAGCTTGCAAAGCCTCTCTTGTACTTAGCTGATCTAGAGAAGATAACGAATACCAACACATGAGTAGGGTATTACACCTCCGGATGCCCTAAACCTGTATAACCTCTTGCCTTCTTCTCCTCACGGGGTGGATGGGCGCCGCAAAATTGCCGTGATCGCAGATACCTCGCACTGCTCTCCTACTAACCCCCTAGTCGAATCTTCACACCCGGAGAGGGGTCTCCACTCCCCTCTATCCGAGGGACTGCCCCCTCGACAATATAAATAGATTTTCATGTGTTCAGTTATTTTATGGACTTATCTCGTGCAAAAATTTTAGTAATGTGAACAAGATATGAGAGGATAAATTTGTAACGAAAATATTTTGAAGTACAATAAATCTATTGGATCTACTAGCATATATGTTTGTATATAGTTGCTCAAGTATTGTAGGTGTATATTATCCGCATACTCAATGTACACTAAGATCAAACAAGGGCAAATGGGTCATTTTCTTGCCACCTCCATGTTGGTAATGTGACATGTCCTTCTACATATGCAAAATTGGCATTTGCAAAGAATTATTCTCTCCAGTGGCATCTCAATAGTCTAGTTGTAAAAATCGAACCGAACCCGTGGTGTAAGAAAAACCGGACCAGTGCTTAGCAGGGTTCCTAAACCACCGGGTCCGAGGTTACCACGCGGTAATCGTGGCAAACCATATGAAACCGTGTAAAATTTATCAAAATTTCAAATTATTTTTTAAATTTATTTGAATTTAAGAAGGTTGCCATGGTTTTCCTTTTACCGTACCCCGCGGTAAGCGCAGTAACCACGCGGTTACCGGCAGTTTTGCAAACCCTGGTGCTTAGTCTGGAGATGGAGATGTAATTGACTTGAGAAAAATCATTTAAATCGGATGGTTTTTTGCAGAACCAAAGGAAAACTAAGCTGGTCTGGAATCGAGACCCCGATGGACATGGCTTGTGGGTTCTTTCAAAACCCTACCTAACCCTTAAATATTTTTCATGCTAAAAAGTATAAAAAGTGTGCACATGGCATTTTAGACCCAACCCTCAAATTTTCGCCCATTATTACCATGCATGTGCACCTGACTGTTTGGGCTTAGTTGCTACAATGGTTTTAGAAACAAAACAATTATATAGTATTATATTTTATGTGTTGATTAAACCAAAATTCTCTATAAATAAAATATACTAGTATAAATTGATTATTTTATTGAACCGATGGTTGAAGTGAACCAAAATCCGTAGGTCGTATCGTAGGGAGGGCCTGCGCCGATCCCCATCCGTCCCGCGACTCGAACTCGAGCGAGCAGAGGCGGCGCCGGCGCTCGTCCTGCCGCCACCGCCGCGGCCGCCTGAGCCGATCCCATCCATCCCGCGAGCGAGCGAGCGCTTCCGCCGCATCCTGGTCCTGGTTAGCACATCCTCCTTCCCATCTCTCTCTACCCACGCTCTCACTATATCGAATTTGCGTTAACCCTAGCTTCTTCTGTTCTAGAAATTCCTTAATACTAGTAGCAGTTTGTTAATTTGTTCCCAAAAAGTTTGGGGGTTCAACTGAACCCCCATGTCCCATGTTAGATCCGCCCATGCGTGGTGCTTTTGCGGGAGATCGGATTGCTATTGTCTCTCTATGCTTTGTGCTGTTTCTAAGTTGGAATGTGCTAACAGCTTGAGTTGGTTTCTCTTGTTTTGTTTCTTACGATATTTTGTTAAATTTGAATTGAAGGATCAGGTAGAAGGAGATGGCGACTCTTGGTCTTGCCCCAAACATGAATCCAAACAAGTCATTTGAGGTGTGATGCTTTATGCAACAATTGTCCTCCTTTTCTATCTGTGCTTGTGTTGGTCCTCACATTCTGTAAATAATAAATCATACTAGTATTTACTTTGTAAGTTATTTATTATGTTTAAATTGTAAATGCAGGTACTGCCTAATCCAGGTGACTCCGTATCGAGCCTCAGTTTTAGCCCAAAGAGCAACCTTCTGGTGGCAACTTCCTGGGATAACCAGGTAAGTTTATTTTTCCTGTAAACTTTCAGTATGCATTTATCAATGTGTTCTTACCAGGTTTGACTTTGAGTTTTGTGCAGGTGCGGTGCTGGGAGATTGTTGGTGGGAGTAGTCAACCAAAGGCATCTATATCGCATGACCAGCCAGTATGATCTCAATATTTCTCTCAAGACCACATTCACATAATGTACAGTATTGATTTTCCTAGTATTTAGTGTGCTCATTGATTTGTTTTCTATCAGGTCCTCTGTTCAGCTTGGAAGGATGATGGAACTACTGTGTTCTCTGGAGGCTGTGATAAACAAGTAAAAATGTGGCCTCTGTTGTCTGGTGGGCAGGCTCAGACTGTTGCAATGCATGACGCACCTGTCAAGGAGATCGCTTGGATTCCTCAAATGAATCTTCTTGTCTCTGGAAGCTGGGATAAGACTCTAAGGTGTGAAAAATCCAATCCTTGCAGCCTCGGTATTCCTTTTTACATGGAATTCGAATTCATATCAACCACTCTATTTACTCAGATAGTTATTCGCTAGTAAGTAGTAACTATGGATTCAAAATATACACCTTGTGATCGTTCCTAAAAATATTTGTTAATTTTAGCTTATATTGTTGGGGAGACCCTAATTGCTATTGATATTTGATTTAGGAAGCTTGAGGTCAAGCATCTAAGTTCAAGCTGTCTATTTGATTAATAGGCAATTAGGCATGCATTTTATATTGGCCCATATTTGGTTTGCCACCATAGACAGCCAAACTTTGGTAATGTGACATAAGTTGTATGAGCATTACCAAAAAATTTAGGGAACTTTTTCTTAATCTCATCGCAGCACATAGGCCTCTGTTCTTGTGGTTACAGTGATCTGTTCTAGTCAATCCAATACTGACCACTTTGCTATTTATAGGTATTGGGACACAAGGCAATCAAATCCTGTCCATGTTCAGCAACTTCCTGAGCGCTGTTACGCACTTACAGTGAATTATCCCCTTATGATTGTGGGAACTGCTGATCGTAATCTGGTCGTCTTCAACTTGCAGAATCCTCAGGTTGGTCTTTGTGAACATCGCACATGTCCATTAAAAATGAATAATGGGGATCACTCGTTTTTCATCTGCAACTTCTCATATTGAACTGAGTGTTTTTATTGTTTCCTGTTTTGGTCATTAGACGGAGTTCAAGCGCATCCAATCGCCACTCAAATACCAGACTAGGTGTCTTGCTGCATTCCCGGATCAACAAGGATTTTTGGTAATGCAACTTTTTTTTGTAAAAATTTCTAGTCTATTCTAAATGCTTAAATAGATAACTATTCTAGCAATGCATTGTTATGTACTTATGGTCTTTTTCTTGGTTGGTATTCACCCAATGGTATTGTCTTCAGCTAGTATATATTTGACACCAAAAAAATTGGTACAAGGTTCAATACGAAAAATTGTGTTTAGCAATTTCTATAGTTGTGCATCTTCCCATTTATAATCTGCCTAGAGATGTCTAGCAAGGTAGGTTTTGTATATGCTTGAACCAACCAATGTTTACCTTTACCCATAATCAGCAATGACCTTGTTCGGATAGAGTGCTCAGCGTTACCTAAGAATAATTTCTATCTGACATTATACAAGAGGTATATTTCCATGTGTCTGACTCTGACCCTAATTTTGTTTCAAGGTGGGTTCCATAGAAGGAAGAGTTGGTGTGCATCATATTGATGACTCACAGCAAAGCAAAAATTTCACGTTCAAATGTCACAGGGAAGGGAATGATATTTTCTCTGTCAATTCACTCAATTTTCACCCAGTAAGATCTCCGTCTGTCTCTTGTTTTCCTATACCTTAGCATATTTATGATATTTTTTCTGAATGGTCTTACCTTGCTGTGGAGTACACATGAATGCCATATAGCACTTTTGCTTTTATTGGAAATGCTTATGCGGGAGAGTTATGCTGAGTTATGGTGCATTTTTTTTCTTAACCATCACTTGATTTGTAGAACAGTAAAAACACAGTTTCTTCTTCCACAAAATACCTCTAATTCTCTTTCCATTGAACAGTATACATGTTTTGCACAATTCTAACTTTATATATTTTGACCAATGAATTCTGGCAATATATACTATATACGAGTGGCACCATTGGTTTCATACCCCAAAGTTCTCTCATATGATCTTGATTAGTGTGCCTGTTGGTGTCTGTCTTTGCTCAGCACTAGCACCATGCCTAGGCAACTGAACTACTAGACAGCCTGTAGCCCAACTTGGAGGTGTTAGGTGTCAACCTGCCACAGGGCCTAGCACCTACGGCAACACATTTTTTTTGCAGTTATTCACAAAGTACTGGTTGAAGTTCTACGTTGGAATGTAGGATACTTCCAAGTAAGGAACGTCAAATGTTAAGACTTAATCTAACAACCGTATATAATCTGATCATGCAGATGTTGCAATTCTCATAAAGATATGTCTCAAAATACTCCAAAAATGTCCTATTTACGATTCCATCGAACAATTCCATATTATGACTATTGAATGTTATGCATACATCATAGAACACCTTTTCTTCTTTTGGTTATGATATTTTCAGTTATAGGATCTTTTTCATTAAATTGGTATGCTTCATTGATGAATACATCTCTAGGATATGTTTCATTGAGAAAAGCATTGCCGACTTACTGGTTTTTGAAGTCTGGAAATCATAGTTTGCGGAGTTATATTTAAGGTTTCATATTTTCTATCACGTGGCACAGGTTCATCACACGTTTGCAACTGCTGGATCAGATGGCGCATTTAATTTCTGGGATAAGGATAGCAAACAAAGACTGAAGGTTTGATGTTGGCTCTTTTGAAGTTCCATTTGTACTGGTTATTGCACTTGTATTTTTGTTCCCTTGAGTATTCAGTGATTTTTAATAGTCATAATTGCTTTATCTGTTATTTTAGTGTGCTGCATAAATATTCTTGCACACATCTGGAAACCAAACCAAGATAAAGCTCATGAACTTACTTTTGTAAATTCAGAACAGTGTTCAAGAAAAAATCATCTGTTTGTATCTGCTCAACCATGTAATTAGTGTTATGCAATTATTTTTTAGTGAAAATGCTCATATTTTTACTCGATGGCATGGATTCTCTTATTGCATGAGCAATCTGCCTAATTTGCAATCATATGGGTGCTTAGTACAAGGCAGGTCATTTGTGTTTGCTAATTTTGTTTTGTTGCAGTCAATTTCTCACATGCATCCCTTTATTTTATACAGAATATAATCATTCACTTCCCATGTCACTTTTTTTACACAGGCTTTTAGTCGGTGCCCTCTTCCTATTCCTTGCAGTACCTTCAACAGTGATGGGTCGATATTTGCTTATGCAGTAAGTCAAGTGATGCTTGAGTATCTTGTTGTACTTTATTAGTTTGTGACTATATGCAACCATGTTTTCTGACCAGGTTGAATTTAGATGTATTTTATTGTTTCCCATGCCACAGTTCTGCAATGAACTAGACATCTTGAATGCACATATTGAGGCCCTGTTTGATTCAACTTAGGATTATTATAATCTGGATTATTAGGAGTAAGCTGAAACAAACAGATAGCTTATTATGATAGATCATTACAATCTATAAGCCATATTACTATAATCTGGTAATCTACTCTAAAGGTGCTTTTTTAGATTTTTGGGTGGCTAACAGCTAATAATCCAGAGAAACAAACAGCTAACAGCTTATTCTATGTCGGCTCATTATAATCCAACTTATAGTTATCTGGCTCAATAATCTAGATTACAATAATCTTAAGCTGAAACAATAGGGCCTAAACATGGTGAAAGAAGTGCCTGATGTTTTCCATTCATTAGATAGACTTTGAGTTCAAATGGATGCCCGGTCCTGTTTAACCTGTATGTCAAATGCATTCCCTTGGATTTTGAATTCAAATGAAATGCTTGTTCTTGTTGAGCTGTAAAAATGCTAAGTGATAGTTCTAACTGAGGCTCCAAGTTTTGAAGAAAAAGACTACAGTTTGGTTAGTTAACCATGTTTACTGTTAACCAGGTCTGCTATGACTGGAGCCGTGGGGCTGAAAACCACAACCCTGCCACTGCAAAGACATCCATCTATCTTCACAGTCCACAGGTAATAGTTGTTTACAGTTATCATCCTGAGATTCTTTCCTGAGTTTGTCTCACAATGCATTTACACTGACGTTCCCTCATTTTGAATAGGAATCTGAGGTTAAAGGGAAGCCGAGAATCGCAACAAGTAGAAAGTGATTACATCCAGCTACGCAAAACCAAAGAGTGCACAAGAAATCATGTACATTGGAAGACAAAAACGTTTCTCCAGGACCTCTGTCCATCGTGTAGGATGCTTTTCTCTTGGTTGGTCATCAATTTTGTTGTGTCCAGTCTGGTGTTAGCATCTGGTAGATGTAAATGTCAGTCTACTCGTAGTCACTGAAGATAGGGGGTTTAGTCGCAGGTTTTAGCATGCATCAGTTTGCAGTGTCTAGTTCTATTTAAGTTATGTTTACCAAGTTTATGCGAGTCTTATGTTGTCGATATAATCAGATCAGCCCGAACCGTTTCTAAGGGAGGTGTTGCAAGTGATGTAAATTATTGCAAATGTAGATTCATATTTCGTTAGAATTATCGCCACGTTCTGAGATGTACTAAATTTACCCGTGAGAAACCAGTGGATGCTGACTTTCTGGTTTTGGCCCGTGAATCTGAATGGCCTACTTGAATTTGAAATGGTAGCTGTCTGAAAAATACGATTAACATGTTCAGCTCATTTTGATTGGTATTCATGTACACTCTGTCTGACGTTACCGTCAGATCTGGTAGGGCAAAAGTTGAACTAAGCAAAAGTTGTCCCAGAAACATCAAATGCAAGTGTTGGATGCCGGCGATTCTGGGACTGGGAGGCGGCGAATAGTAAGGGACTGCTTGCAACATGTTTCAGCAGAGGATATGCGCATCACCCAGTTTTATTTTAAGCTAATCATGTGTGTTACAAGTAACAGCGCTGGCTTTACCTGCTAGCAAACCTTAACATCAAAGACAAACCCAGCGTCCCAGGCCAGGCAGAATGAACAAAGCGCTAACATCTTATCATGAAGATATCGGGTATGTCAACAGGAAATTTTTTTTTGTGTCTACAACAAGAAGACCCAAGATCAGAGGTCCATCAAAACTTCAAAACAAGAAGAAACCCAACTACTAATAAGACTGAACATCCTGAAACATCAACACAGTGATATCGATCTGTCATTGTCGTCATCCTCTTGCTACTCTTCACTGTTCCATCATTCCATCCCATCCTGTTCGAGATACCCATAAAAAGGAAATGTAAGGAGATGAGAAATTGAGAATGGCCGAGAAAAAGAGAGGCCTGGTTTAGTTCCCAACTTTTTCTTCAAACTTTTAACTTTTCCATCACATCAAAACTTTCCTACACACACAAACTTTTAATTTTTTCCGTCGCATTGTTCCAATTTCAATTAAACTTTTAATTTTGGTGTGAACTAAAACACAACCAGATAAAACATCGGAGTAAGGGCAGTCTCAACCCTCCACCTAGGATGGTGTCTATGGCATTAACTACATTGCCATATATAACTTTTAGCTTATGTGACACTATATTAATTAAGAGAGAGAGTGAAGAGAGGGTCAACTGGACAAAGCTTATTGCCTGTTTGATGAAATGCTGGATCAGGGGATGTCGCCTAATGTTGTGACTTACAGCTCAATCGTCGCTACCCTATCCAAGGCTCAAGCAATGGAAAAGGCTAGGGAGGTCCTTACTAGGATGGTCAAGAATGGTGTTATGCCTGATTGCATCACGTACAATAGTCTTTTGCATGGATATTGCTCATCGGGAAAGCCCAAAGAGGCCATTGGGATTTTCAGAAAAATGTGCAGAGATGGTGTTGAACCGAATGTAGTCACTTATAACATGCTCATGGACTATCTCTGCAAGAATGGAAGATCCATGGAAGCTAGAAAGATCTTTGATTCTATGGTCAAGAGGGGCCACAAGCCTAATAGTGCTACATACGGTACTCTGCTTCATGGGTATGCTAGTGAAGGATCTCTTGTTGAGATGCACCAACTCTTGGATGTGATGTGATGGGTAGCCGTCTCCCATTTTATTTCGAAGACGTGTCTTCACAATTTTCATAGCTGAAAAAGCTCTCTGTAGTTGCAGTTGACACTGGAAGAGTCAAGATTAATCTTAACAATCTATCCACCATTGGATAGGAACAACTTTTCCCTGTCTTAAGAAGTCCACTTGTTATTTCTGCAAGAGATGGCAATATGCTCAAGTCTGGATGGTTGCAGACATCAAGTTGAAAATGTGGTAGTTGGCACTCCAATTGAGCTCTTTCTTGACTTGAGAAATCAGCAGGATAATACTTCTCTACAAGGGTGCATACCTTTGCCATGTCAAATGACTCAAGTCTTGACTCCAAGCAAACACACAGGGCTAACAGATCTGTAGCTTGAGAACCGAATCGGTCTTCTAGCTCAATCATTTGTTGATCAATTGCAACATTAAACACATCAACTTTGTAATAGTGAAAAGCTGTAGTGTTGTCATTCTTGTTTTGAGATTTTGTCACATCAACATACCTGCAAATTTGGGAACATAAATAAGAAATAAAAATCTACAAAAATAACAGTCACATATTGCCATTCATATTTAAAACCTAGGCAGAAGAACATACTTGTTATTCAGATTCGGAATATCAATCTCATGCTTCTCACAAAAAGATTTGACCTCCTGGACAAGAGGTTCCCAACCCTCATTTCGCAAATCAGCAAGCAATGCTTTTGTGTTAGAAACAGAATCCAATGCATTTAAAATATCAATAGCTTTCTTTTGGAGTGTTTGGCATAGGACATCAGTGATCTTCATAATATTTTCCATCATGAGAAGAATAAACACAAAATCAAACGTGAAAATCATTCGTAGGGCACCTGCAGCATCTCCCCTAGAATACTTTGTAACTGAACAATTATGTGCAATGCTACGAAGGACTGAAATTGTGGCACCAAACATTTTTTTTAAGCTCTGAATCGATTTATAATGGGAACTCCATCTAGTGTCCCCTGGCCTTTGTAGAGAGCCCACCTGATTTGCCCCTCGTCCAGTATCTATCAAGCTCTCCCAATTCAATTTCACGAGCAATTTCTGTGGTTTGGTTTGCTAACAACTCATCGTTGCGCTTTGGAGAAGCACTAACAACATTTATTATGAAATTTGCATGCTGAAAAAAATTGTGTACCTCTTGTACTTCCCTTGATGCTGCGACAAGAGCCAATTGGAGCTGATGAGCCAAGCAATGGATGTAGTATGCATATGGGCACTCATTGAGAATTAGAGCCTTCAATCCATTCCATTCCCCTCGCATGTTACTTGCCCCATCATAACCTTGACTTCTAATATCTTGCACATTCAAGTTATTACCAGACAAGACCGCACAAATTGAGTTCTTAAGAGTCAACGCATGAGTGTCACTAACATGAACAAGATCAAGGAAACACTCTTTTATAAGCCCTTCTTTGTTGACAAACCGTAGAACTATCGCCATCTGCTCTTTCTTAGATTCATCTCGAGCTTCATCAGCCATTATGCAAAACTTGCTAGTGCCAATTTCTTCTCTAATTGATTTTTGCACTTTTCGAGCAACTATGCTTAGAATTTCCTTTTGGACTTCAGATGAGGTATACTTTGCATTTTTTGGAGCATTTTCCAACACAACTTCTTTAACCTCCTTATTATATGATGCCAAAAGCTTATCTATTTCAAGAAAATTACCTCGATTTATGGAATTCTATTTCAAGAAAATTACCTCGATTTATGGAATCTAAAGGTTCATCATGGCCTCTAAAGGGACACCCTTGAAATGTTAGCCACCTATCATATAAACAAAAGAAATCGTTAGATACTTAGATTTATTATAAATGCACTGTTCTAAAAAAATATTGAAATGAATTCATGTTATTACCGAATGGAATCAATAGTAGTAGTCAGCCTTAGTCTTGCTATTGCAACTATTTTGTCACTTTGTCTAACCATCACCTTGTCAATTTGAGCCATACTATTTTTGAGATTATTAAAGCACCCAACTGAATAATTATGAGCTGAGCTAGCATCCCCCATGTGTTTTAGAAAAGAACACTCCTTTCCTACATTAACTTTCTTCCAATTTTGAAACCCATTGACTGTGGATGCATTTGATCCAGCCTTCCCAGTTGGCTTCTTTGAAAAGATAAAGCATGTTAAACAATAAGCACAATCTGTGTGGCGTGAATACTCCAGCCAACAAAATTGTTTAGACCAACTGCTGCGAAATCGACGACGGTGCTTAGCATCATTCAAAGGATACTCTTGTTCTTGCAAGATTGGTCGAAAAGGACCCTCAGATATATAAAATCTTCGAGCTTCATCTTGTTGATCAGCAGGAAGTTCAAATATTTGAGCCCGTTTCCCTGGGTCCCTCTCAAATGCTGTAGCTACAATTTCCTGCCCCTGTTCAGCTTCTAGTGATGGTAGTGTAGCCGCATTTTCATTAGCAGCTTGCAAATCAACTGGGTCAATATCTTGGGCAATGATTGGACTAGGATTTTCAGTGGAGTTCACCCTTGAAACAACCGGGTTATAATAGCAATCGATTGTCTTTCTCTTCATCTTGCTTGAGCAAATAATGTACGACTGAAAATGTGAAAATGTTCAGATTTCAGAAGTGAACTTTTTTAAGATAATGTTCAGAAGTGAAATATGAGACACAGACATACTATCAAGGAAACAATAGTGAAACAGTGGCTGATCTGATTAATTGATTGGGAAATAGAGAGGAACCAAGGAAGCTCCAAAGCTGGAGCCTGGAGGAGATGTAGACATACATACATACATACCTCAGTCAAGAGTAGGTGTAGTGCGTTCCAGGAATTTAAAGTCATTTGGGTTCGCCGGTCTGCAAACAAGGTGGTACATAGCCTAGCCAAAATGTGCCTGACAAGTGAGGAGTGTTCAACCTGGTTTTCAGTTCCACCTTTATGTATTTCTTCTCTGTTAGTTGAGGACTGTAACCCCTTAAGCACTGATTAGTTGCTTTAGGCTTGAAGCCTGTTTCTCAAAATAAAAGAACAATTTGTACCATAATATATAGGCAATTCTTCTAGGAAACGAAGAGAAATTCATGTTACTTTTTAATGTCAATCTGTGGCATCTCTAGATACCTTTAACGCTAAGACAGACATATTTAAGCTTCTTGCCTCCAGGTAAAAGCAGCATACATGTCAACAAATGCATATATTAATGCTGCCATGCAGTTTTTTTCCTTTTCCATAAAAACAGCACTATATATTTTCTCATTATTCTATTATTTTAATATTTAAATATTTTTACCAGTTGGTATAAAATTTTATTCTCATTATTCTATTATTTTAATATTTTTACCAGTTGGTATAAAATTTTACCTAAGTAACAACTGTTAGAGTGCGCAACCTGGCCCACCAACCATAGGCCACCCAGGTCACATAGGGCCTGCTCTGTTACAGGCCTAACCGAAGTCACAACTTTAGGTCTTGTTAGAGTGCGCAGCCCGGCCCACCAACCATGGGCCACCCAGGTCAAGGCCTGCTCCACCACAGGTCCAACCGAAGCCACGACTTTAGATCCTGAACCTACACAATCCAAAAGACTAGTCTGATGGTGAGGATTGCCCCCACCTTTTTAAGTCGTGCTCCTCTATCATCAATTACAGATGTGGGACTAAACCCAACTCACTTTATTTATATGAAGAATTATAGAAGCACCAGGTTTAACAGATAGGTACATACTTTAAATCACCATTCGACTCAAACCAACACAGAGCAGCTCCAAATTGTACACTAACAACCACAACAAACAAAGACTTCAACAGATACTCCAAGAAATTTCAATAGAGTTGTAGAAATTTATAGTGGATTCGCTGACTCCAGCTCTCTAGCAGCTAGCACACAAACTGCACCTTTCATAGCACACCATCTGCAATTCATTCCCAACGTGTTCTTCACTTCTTCGTCTTGGTTCGTCTCATCCTGTTTGATGTGCCAATACATGGAAATGAATGAATATGAGTTATTTTCTTTATGATATTGTGGGATCATATTGACATGAAACATTGCACTGGTGGAATCAGTGAGAGAACTCTCGCTCACCTCTTGAATTTACCATTTCTGTCTAGAAGAGGCCCCGTGCCCGCGCCATATTGTTTTGAATCATTTGCTTCACCCTCGACTTAAGCATTTCTTGAAGGAGTCTCTCAACCGATATTCCATTATGTCGATTCAACTGCATCAAACACCATAAGAAAATTGACCCAAACATGGGAGTAACAAGTGAGGGATAACATATATTAAATGTGGTATTAAATATCAAATTACATAGAATTTGCAGGATGAAAGAAAGAAATGTAGGACTAGTAACAACTTAGAGGATGAAACGAATCAAACGACAAGTCCTAGTATTTCTTACAGGTGACTTACAATTTTGATAAGCCCATGGAAAGTTCCAATGTTTCCATAAGTTTTTGCTAGTTCAAAACTGCAAGTGACACGGTTCGGAAGCGCCTTAACGGCGGCTTTGATGAGGAAAGCAGCATTTTTGGCATTGCTATCTTCCCTATCAGCCTCTGGATCATAGTCTTTGTGACTAACTGAGCACCCATAGATATGGACCTCAACCTTGTTGAGGGTGGAGAGGTGCCGGATGCCGAAATTGGTAGCACCATTTATGCACTCCATCTCATGAACACAGAACCTAAGCTTGAGATGTTCAAGGTTTGGCATTGATCCTTCTTCAAATTCTGGTGTGGTTCCACAAGATATCATGACCAGGCCAAAATATTTCAAGCATCTGAATCCTTTATAACCAGGGATAAAGATCCTCCCATCGGTGCCGTAAAAGGTTTTTAGCTTGAGAAAAATCAAGGTTGGTATTGCTCCAAGTATCTTAACATCTTCTGCTCTTAGACAGTAGATATAAAGCTTTAATTCCTTGAGATTTCCAAGTGAGCTCATCCAATTTGGAACCTTACAGATGAAACAATATGTGATGTGCAGCTTCTGGAGGCTACAAGTAGTAGTAGGGCAGCAAGATTCCAGTGAAAGTGGGTAAGGACCCGGCCAAATGTGGATATTGCCGATATATAGATTATGAACATTGCATGAAGAAATTAAAGCATGCATATAACTCTGAAGGCCCTCCTCATCTTGAACAAAAGACCAATCAAAATCCCATTTTACCTTCAACATCCTCAGCTTGGTTAGCTGACTAAATTCTTGCAAGCATTCCCACTGTTGGTGGAACGACACGAAACCAAACTCGCTTAGCTCTTCCAAGCTCTGCAACTTTGCAATTGTTCCTTTAGGAAATCTAGCTAAGTGAGAGATATAAAGCCGGGCCAATCGGCGAAGCCTTGTGATAGCTGAAGGCAGTTCTACAACTGACACACCTAGTAGGTCCAGTGTTTCTAGATTCTCCAACCCTCCTGTTCTTGCAGTGAGCACAAAATCTAATAAAGGGGAATTTAGACGCAAGTACCTCAGATGTAACATCATTTCGATATGCGCCATGTGATGGTTGCTTCCTAAGCCCCAGTTTCCTCCTAGGTCCCAATTATCTTCTTGATCCATCACACGAAGAGCTGTGAATGCTGACATAGGAATTCTCCCAAAATCACCGAAAAGAGTAAGCGATCGAACATGAGAGAGAACTGGGCCTGTTAATCTGGCAACCTCCTTTTTGTTGTGATTATTCACATGAAGCCTACGAACCCTGACCTTGTTTTCTGAAACAAGCCCTTGCTCTGCATCATCATTGAATGGGGTAACAAAATTCTCTTCAGAAGCCTTGCATGCGAGGAAATCAAGAATGATGCCATGAACTTGGCATGCCTTTGCTTGACCATGCTTTGAACCAACTGGTTGGATCAAGCATCTATTGATAAGGTAGTTAAAATAGCGTTCACCAACTTCATATGAAGTTAACCCTTGTTCTTCGAGAATGAATCCTTCCGCGATCCATCTATTTATCAAACGTTGTTTGTTGATCTCGTAATCTTCTGGAAATATGCTTAGGTACAATAAACAAGCTCTTAAATGGTGAGGAAGATCATAGTAACTGAGAGATAATATACTTTTCATGATATCATCATCTGGGTCCTTTGCAAGTACAGAACCAATAGCAGTTAGCACCCTTTTCCATTCATCTTCTTCATTCTGATCGGCTAACAAGCTAGACATGATCATAATAGCCAATGGAAGGCCGCCGCATTTCTGTAATATCCCATCAGATACTTTTTCCAATTGAGGATTTGGCAAATCCTCGGAACCAAATGCTCTTTTGAAAAACAACATTTTGGAGTTTTTGAGGCTAAGAGGTTCCATTCGATAGACATAACCACCATCATGTGAACAACATGATGCAACTGCGGAATTACGTGTTGTTATAACAATTCTGCTACCACATGTGTTGTTGAACAAAGCAAGCTCAATAGCTTTCCATGCTTCTGCGTCCCTCACATCATCAATCACAATGAAGTACCTATTATAGAATTTTAGCAAAGCTAGATATCAATATCTTTTAAGCATATAAAGCCGCCATCAGCATTAAATTAATTGAATATAGATGATCAATTGATCATTTCTATGAAAAGTATTTGCTTGCAGCTAGCTCAAGTCCACTTGATTTGAAACTAAAGAAGCATAAGTTAAGCACAGGATTGCCACTAGTCTCTAGCACATATTTACACTCTTTGTGAACAGAAAAAAGGCAGTAGATTGTAAATATATATTCAGATAACTAATTATAATTGCTCAATAAATGTGTGCAGTCCATGTCATGATCTGTTTAACGAAATGTAGAAAAGTACTCCCACCATATTTAAATATATGACACTATCAACTTTATTTGGTCAAACTTTTAAAATTTTGACCATCAATAACTCAAAATATTTCATTTAGAAACATTAAAAACATATGAATAGTTTCTTCTTATAATTACTTTTACAATGTTATAATTTTGTTAAATATTATCATTTTATTCTAATAGAAAACTAGTGGTTAAAGTTGTACACCAAAGACCGAATAAAGTCAATAGTTTCATACTGTCATATTAAATACAGAGGTAGTAGTAAAGAGTACATAGCAGTGTTACAAATTACAAGGTTTACCTTTTATCTTTTAGGTAGTCTCTTATCCTATCAATGAGTTTCCCTTCGTCATCTGATGTGTTATAGGTGATCCCTAGGTTTGTATGAATCATTCTCAAAATCTTTTCTCTACAGAGATTTCGAGACAATGACAAAAAAAATGTGCACTGAAATTGGTCTTCCAGCTGAGAGTAGATTTTGATGGCAAGATTAGACTTGCGAAGACTTCCAAAATCTGCGAATGTCAGTACCTTGAGATTTTTCTCACCTTTCTCCTTGGTAAACCAATCAATTATATGTTTCTTTGCGCGATTGACTCCCACAAGTTTATCAACTTCATCATAAAGCATCAGCATGCGAGGATCAACACCAAAAGTGCTAGAATTGGATGCCACATTGACAGAATTATACCTTTTGTGCCTCTTGCTTCCCTCCATTGCACATTTCTTGATCAGTTCATCGATCGCATCAGCGATCTCAGGGCAAGCCTTCAACTTCTTCAATTTGCGGAAGAACCATGTCGAAGGCCAGCTCACGCACATTGTGCCGCCATTCCCTCTTCAGAGGATCGAGCCCATCATCTGCATCTGCAAGCATCTCTAGCACAGGCTTCATGCTTGGTTGCGCGCAGCGCCTTTGATATTCGTGTACTCTTCAAGAAGCTTGGAGAGCTTGGGTAGGAGAGTGTTCATCACCCCTGTGGAAGCATCCACATGCATTGCCGCCATTGCTCTCCTGTGTCTGGATTCTATGCTACATGCGAGCTAAGGAAGTGAGAGTGTGATAATGTGGTAGTGTGATTATGTTCAGTTGATATAGGCAGCACTCCTTTCAAAAGGGAGAAAAGGAATTGTCTATTTGCATTCAGACAGAAGATGATACACTACACCAATTGCAGCTGCTTTATTTTTCTAAAATCATAAAAAGTGTCCTTTCCATCTTTGTCTCGATTTTCTATTAGGCAACTTGTTGAAGTGATAATTCACATGTGCATGTCATAATAGAAACTAGCAATAAGTTTTCTCTTGTGGGTCTCTGGTTTGTCACCTGCAAATATTTAGTTTGTAGTTGTCACTGGTCATAATGTGCCTGGATTATACAAAGTTTGGCAGCAGCTTTGTCAATTAGCTAGTGGCTTGACCTCAAGTTGTTGTATTATATTTAGTTGATTTATTTTGATTTATGTCCAGTACAATCTGTTAGGGCCAATCTCCTTTTAAAAGAGATGGCAGACATCATATGCTCATGCAGAGAATAATTGATATTCACGCCTATCTTGATCTACTTTGATCAATCAGAGATATTACTGTACAAAATTTTGGTCACTTTTTTATTTCCCAAAACTTCATCTGGAACTGTTTCCTTGTTATTTGTGATTTGAAAAAAGGAAAAAAAGTGACAAGTATTTAGAAATAGGGAATAGGTTGTTTTAATGAAGAGCAATGTTGTGATGACATCACCATCAGATGTGTGCGTATTCTGACACTATCGTTAAACATCTTCTCATTCCTACAATCAAAGCATGGACAAGTTGTTTATTCATTATTTGTCATGTTTTTCTCTTGCTCTACGACATTGATGGAATCGGTAATGCCCTTTCCATACTCTATGCTCAATCGATCACTTTTGTACATCCATCTTCTGTCCATCTGCAAATTATGAAAAAAAATAAAAGTTATGTATATGTAGCTAGTTATTACACGGAAATTGTAGTAATAATTTATTATTATCTTGGGAGCATTTTGTTTTTTCTAGAAAAATAAAGAGCAAAAATTCTCCCGTCTTGCTCTCTTTTCCAAAATGTAAACCATACACTGGGTTAATTAGGATAGCTGTTCTTCGAATACCCTGGGGGTATTTATACTATGGATTATCCGTAACGAAGCACAACCAAACCCCGTCAAAGAATGAGGGTCATCGGTGATAGGCTTCACACTCATCTTTGTCAGGCCGTAACACTGGGCCCATCACAGATGACCCTCATCAGTGACGGTGTTTTGTTTTGGCCCATCACCGATGAGGGTCATTGGTGACATGCCTAACCCAGAGGACTAAGATACATCCTCTCTCGGCTTATTGTGACAGGGTTTTTTGCGGCCCGATAAATATGCGTACCTTTGTAATGGACCGATAGCCTCCGTCACAGATGGGCCAATTGGGATGCCCGGTTCTGTACTACTGGCTCTCGCTGGCGATGCCACAAGCTGGGTAGCTAGCCAGCGATGATAGAAGCCGATCAACAAAGGTTAACGCGAGCCATCTGTTCTGCACAAATGAATTATAAATTGGAAGTCGAATATGGGTATTGGATTAAATGTCTAACACACAATTATAATCAACGGTCAGATTAGATCTCTACGACTTTACTACCACTATAGTAGTGGGAGGTACTGTAAAAGACCCTCTATTTATAAGATTTATAGCTGCTAAAAATTTTAGTACGTAAATAATTAGTTGCAGCAAGTAGTCAGAAACCATATTCATGAAGTTAGCTGCTAACTTCTACAGCTCCAAGAAAGAAATGCAAGTGAAAACAATCATGAATAGTCTTTGTCGTCCCAATAAAACTTTATAGCCAAACAGCCATTATCAGCTCCAGCTCTACTGTGGAGAGGGGTGCCCGAACCTTAACGATTACTCTCTCCGTTCTATTTTAAGTGCAACCATAACCATAAGTTTTCACGTCCAACTTTGATCGTTTGTTTTATTTGAATCTTTTTATAATTAATATTTTTGTTGTTATGAGATGATAAAACATGAATAGTACTTTACAAGTGACTTATGTTTTTAAATTTATTCAAATTTTTTTTAAATAAGACAGACGGTTAAAGTTGGGTGTGTAAAACCATGGCTGTACTTAAAGATGGGATGGAGTATTGAAGCTGTAAATTTTAGAGTTGCAGCCCTGCCATGCCAAGCAGAGTCTTAATACTGCAGCCCTGCCCAGCCGAATCGAAACGGCTGATTTGCTGGCCGCCGGCGGCGAAGCCCCATGGAATTATCTTGAATCGCTGATGAACTTATACGAACATCCCTAACTGCTTTAACTGAACCTACAGGAAAGCTCGGGTGTTTCCTCTTGTACTCAAAACACTGGAAGAAGAATGAAAAAAATATATAAGCAAAAGATTGAAAAATAAGTACACTTAATGTTTCAGTTTTTTTCCGGTCTTTCCAAATGTGCCCAAGAGATAATAAAATTGTTACAGTTTCCACTCAATAAACCCCCCCCCCCCCCCACCCATCCTCCGAGTTCCATCCTTTTTTATGTCTCTCAGTTTACCACCATTTTTTTTCTCAACATGACCATGTTACCCTTATCTCATAAGGTTGAACTTCAACCAAATTTTAAATTCATTTAGAATTCAAGTTTTAGTTTTACAATTTTGGATAAAATAACAAAAAAAATGGTGATTAGGGTAATGCACCTCCCCATTGTTCTTTTTCTGTTGAAAAAAAATAAAAATCAAACTTTGGTTTCAAGTTTAGTTTGATCGAAATTATTTGAAAATATATATATTATTTTAATTTTTTTAGAAAATTATAAAAATGAGTAAATATTTATATGGTTTGATTTGATTCATTCCACCTCTTCTTTTTTTTCCAAAACTAAGGAATTTAGGGGCATTTATTTTTGTGCGGGGCAAACTTATCGCTTATGGTTATGAGGGGCATTATGTTTATTTTGAAAAAAAATGATTAATTTATGGTAGTTAACTAAGCGAAATGGTATGTACTGAGGATGTAGCAAAACCCGACATACTAGTAGAGATTGAGCAAGAACTTGAGGGGCACATAAGAAATTTTCTCTATAACTTGTAAGGTACTAAAATTTCACACTTGGGGGTACCTAATTTTGGTATCTCTAAAGTTATTATAATTAGTGATACCTCTCATTATCCATTGTAAGGATGGTAAAAGTACCCAAATTAAAAACCTGTCCCTAATTTAATTACGGAAATCAAATACATTGAAAGTTTCCAAAAGAGTTTTAAAACTTTAAATAATATTGTCTAAATTTAAACAAATTTTTGTAAAATATTTTTGATTTCTGTAATTTCAGACAACTTCTAAATTTTACAAAATGTTTAGAATCAGCTAAAGTGTGTTCAAATTTTAATTATAGAAGGTGGTTCAAGGTAAAGTAGTCTTTTGAAAAAAAAAAAGTAACTAGAGTATTCTAGAGCAAATGCTATAAAATTAGAGTGCCCTAAAATAAATACCACAAATCTGAAGTGTCTTAGAACAAATTTTGCCATTAATTAAACGGGCACCAAATATTTTTGTGGTATCCCTACAATTCTGACTGGAAACTTACCGATGGACAAGGCACAATAGCAGTGTTCAGGTTGAATTTGCATGTGGGACGGTTAGGAAGTGCCTCAACGGCAGACTTGATGCGACTTTCAAAACATTTGACAACGTTAGCTTCGCCGTCATCTTCCATCGGACTGTCGTCCGTATCTTCCGTCGTCGGATGGTACATCCTTCTGGTGTCAGGTATAAAGAAGCAACCAAGACCAACCTCAACTTCGGTGAGGGTGGACAGGTGCTGGATACCAAAATCAGAAGCACCATTCACAGACGCCGTCCAAGAATGCACAGGGAAATTAATCTTGAGATGCTCAATCTTTGGCATTGCCCCAGCTTCAAACTCCAGCTCTGTCCCACAAAGGTCAATATCTAGAGAGAAATATTTCAAACATCTGAATCCTTTGTTGCCACGGAACGTGATCCTCCCATTGCTGCTGTATAGTGTTCTTACTCTGAGTAAAACCAAGCTAGGTATTGCTTCAAGGATGTCAACATCTTCAGGCCTCATTCTGTAGAAATATAGTAGTAATTCCTTGAGATTTGCAAGGGAACCCATCCAACTTGGAAGCTTAGAGATGTAGTAATGTGTGATGTGGAGCTTCCGGAGGCTACAATTATCACTAGGGGGGCACCATGATTCCAGTGACATTGGGAGATGATCTGGATCATCCTGTCGGTGGAGGATACAAAGATGATGAAGATTGCATGAAGATATCAAAGTTCCAATATAATTCCAGAGGTCCTCGGCTCGCTTCCTTCCTTCCAAATCATCTGTAGTACTACTGCATCTTACTTTCAGCGTCCTCAGCTTGGGTAGCTGACCGAATTCTTGCAGAGATTTCCCTTTCTCGCAGGAGACGACACCAAACTCCTCTAGCTCTTCCAAGTTCTGAATCTTTCCAATTACCCCATCAGGGAGTCTAGTGTTGTGATGGACATATAGGCGGGCCAATCGTTGAAGCCTTGTAATAGTTGATGGCAATTCTTTGACTTGACATGCAAATCGCATGTCCAGTGTTTCTAGATGACGCAGTTCTCCAATATTTCTTGGGAGCTCAGTTATCGGACACAACATTCCAATACGCAAGTACTTCAAATGGAGCAGCGTTTCTACATTCGCAAGAATAGGATGGTTGTCTCCCATGTTTTCACATTCTTCTAAATCCAACACACGTATAGCTGGTAAATCCACCAAAGGAGTTTGCATGAAACGCCCAAATAAAGTAAGTGATCGAATATGAGAGAGATCGATTTGGCTTGCTGATATGGTGGCATGGTCTTCACTGATATTCATGACACTTAGCCTACGAACCCTGCGATCCGAAACTTGGCCAAAATCTGCAGTATCCAATGAGGTGACAAAATTCTCTTCAGCGGCCTTGCACGCGATGAAATCAAGAATGATGTCATGAACTCGACATGCCTCTACCTGACCATACTTTACATCAACAGGTTGAATCAAGCTTCGGTCGATGAGATCAAGGAAATAACGCTCACCAACTTCGTATGTGCTCCGGCCTTGCTCTTCATGAATGAATTCTTCTGCAATCCATCTATTTATCAACTGTTGTTTGTCTATTACATAATCTTCTGGAAATACACTTAAGTACAACAAACAAGTTCTTAGATGATGAGGAAGATCCAGGTAACTGAGAGATAATATCTTTGTCATATTCTCAACATCAGGATTTTTTGCAAGTGCAGAGCCAATAGCAGTTAGCATCCTGTCCCATTCTTCTTTTGCATGTTGATCGACCAGCAAACTGGATATAGTATTTATGGCTAATGGTAGACCACCACATTTCTCCAATATCCCATGAAAGACTTCTTCAAGATGAGGATACAATAATTCTTCAGAACCGAATGCTCTTTTTAAAAACAACCTTTTGGAGTCTGCAAAGTTAAGTGGTTCCATTAGGTAAACGTAACCGCCATCACAACAGGAAAATGATGCAACTGCAGCACTACGTGTTGTGGTGATAATTCTGCTACCACACTTATTATTGAACAGAGCAAGACGGATAGATTTCCATTCTTCCGTGCCCCATAAGTCATCAATTACAATAAAGTACCTGAGACATGATTTTGACAAAGAATTATTCAATTGGCGCCCAAAACATATGATGTGAAAATTCTTTGTTCATAGGTAACATGAAGTGCAGTGGGTCTCATTAAATAAATATTTGTCATTTTGAATATGCATTTGGTCAAACTTTAAATGAAGATTGGTTTTCCCATCTATTTTGGTTCAAAATGTTAAGGATATATATGTAGCGGACAATTTAGTCTTTTCACATCCTTGTATGTATATTAGAGCTTCTCTAACAGACTATCCAAATCGAACTCTCCAAACACACATATAACCAACTCTCTATCTGATTTGACTAGGCATACTAGTTACTTAAGGGCTGTTTGGTTTGTGTCTTGAGGGTCATGCCTGAGAAAAAACTCACGCCGGACAGGCAGCGTTGGGACTTGGGAGAAGCAACACTTTGTGTGTTTGGATCGTGCACAAGCCCTGAAGAATAATAAAATGTCAAAAAGCAACTTTTACCAACGCAAAGTATGAAATACGAGCAATTTTATAGTCCTTGAGGAGGTACCAAATTTACAATAGAAAAAATGGTACCTCATGGTACCAAGGTATTATGAGGTACGTACCATGAGGTACCAAATTTTACACTAAATTTTTGGTACCATATGGTACCTCCTCAAGGACTGTAGAATTGCTCATGAAATAAATGACACATGCATCATTAAGAGTAGTTGCCTGAAGCTCAGGCGTCCAAATTCGATGGCCTGGTTCAAGCTAATAAAGTCGCCTGAGGATTTAGCATGCTAATGAAGAGTCAGGTCAGGCTAGCTCAGGATACAGATTTTTTTTATTTTTTAGACTTTTTAATGTTTTAATTTTATTAATAGACCTTTCCAAAAAATATTTCTGAAAATTAAACCTTTTGGAGTGGCAGGACAACGCTGCCACGCCAGCTACACGTGGCGTGATAGAGTTATTTCGCCACGCCAGGCGGGCTGGCGTGGCCAAAAGGTTCAAATTTGAAAATACTTTTAGAAATGGTCTATTAATAAAATTAAAACATAAAAAAGGCTGAAAAAATCTAGGATACACCAGGGAACAAACCAAACATGTAGTTGTTGGAGCTCAGGCAGCGCTCCGGCCAGGCATACAAGCCTCAGGACGCGAACCAAACAAGCCTGTGGGGTATATGATACCTTGGTACCCGTGAAGAAGCCTTTGGGCCATGAGACATTGGGTGAGCCAAGAGCCCTAGAACCATGTGGCTATCTTGTAAATTAAGTAAAAGATATTCCTGGGATAAGAAATAAATCACGGGGATCATGCATATCTTTTATAGATGAGAATAGAGAGATCTAGTTGCAATCAACTAGATACTTCCTTGTAACCCTCCCCCCACATCCTATATAAGAGGGGTAGGGGTCCAGAGATTGGGGATGATGGCCACAACTAGTGCCATACTCCAACATATGTGCCCATGTGCTATTCCAATGCCGTGCTGCGCATATCTACACAAATCCAATTTGCATACAACTGGACTAGGTATTACCTTCAATTTACATACAACTAGACTAGGGTATTACCTCACATCAAGAGCCTAAACCAGTATAAACATCTGTGCCACCATCTCTCCTTGATCTTGCGTACCCGATAAATTATATTGTCGATTATATAAATCGACGGTTGGCGCGCCAGGTAGGGGTGCGCTTGATTTTCTTTTTTTTTCAAGGAGGAGATGGCATCTTAGGGAATCACCTTCGTGAATCCCACCACCTTCCCCACCACCACCATGTTCTCCTTTGGCACCTTCGACTTCGTCTTCGACGCCTCCGGCCAAATTCAGCAAGTCAGCCCCGGCGTGGTCGTTTCTATCCAAGACATTCGATTCCCTGCAGGAGCCAGGTTTCGTTTTGGAGAACTGAACTTCACTACCAACAAGGCCGGCGTACTCCGACCCATGACTCCCCGTGCTTCATCCCCAGCCGCGACGTCCCTAGTGCCTTTTGGCCTTGCCAATTTCACTGCCGTCGCCGCCAAGATTGGCCACGTCGACAACTTCTCCGCTCGCGGCAGGGTCACCACAACTCCACCAAGGCGACCCGGGCATCACGGCCGATCCAAGCATCGCCGACCCTGACTGCCTCGGGAGCTCGGGTCCCGATGGGTCGGATTCCTCGACACGTCCGCGTGCCTCCCTTACTCGCGGTGGAAGAGAGCTCCAACAACACCAACTTCCAGTCACAAGCCGAGTGACATCTTCATGATACTTCAGTCGGAGACTGACGCCGAGCGACAGGAGCGCGGAGAAGAAGAACGACGCATCAGGCAACAGCAAGAAGAGCTCACAAAGCGCATGGAGGAGCTACGATAGCACGGCCGAGCGACTCAGGAAGCCATTCTCAAGGCCAAGCTAGGCGAACACGACGTCTTCATGACCCCTCAGCACAACATCGTGGCGACCAAGGCGCTACTTGACAACATTAAGTTCCCTGAAGACTCGGCAATTAACTCCACGATCGGGCAAATCAAGGCAATGGTCGAAGCCGCTACCGTCTAGCACATGGCGACGCCCCTACCATATCCACAACCGGCGCATCGACGTCTAAATAGCCATCTTGTCCGCCCACGGATCTCCGCCAACCCTTGCAAGCGGGGAGCTCTCATCCAAGCCTTCGTCCGAGCAATCTGCGAGATAGGATCGAATCCAACCAGCATCTCAACATCCAACCAGCGTCTCAACGCCGACCTGCGCAACATCATGAACGAATGACGCCGACTACGGGAGGCGGAACGGCTACGCATCCACAACATCGAAGATGAAGGGGGGCCGCGACGCGCCAAGACCAGGCCAAACGGCTGCATCGTCGTTCATCGTCCACTCCACGAATACATCGACCTCTCCCCGGAGCTAAGACGCTGTCGCGACGACCTGTTCAAAGGGATCCCAGCCTTCACCAAGCCACTCCGCGGAGTATAATGGCCATCTAACTTCAAGACGATGGGCATCGACAAGTACGACGGCAAGACCCGGGACAGACTCCAACAGACTCTTCAGACTCTTCATTATGAGTCTATGACAACGGGACCCGTATATCGGCCTTGAATACCCTTCCTTCTCCTTCCTCCTCTTTTCTCCCCTTTCCCCGAGCCATGCAACGGCTATAGCCGAGCCCTCCCTCACCGGCCCCTCTACCACCTCGTCTCCCATCTCACTAGCAGCGCCGCTCTCTTCACATTGCCATTGCTCATCCCTTCTTCTCTCACTCCGGCGCTCAAGAGCAGGCGGCGAGCGGGAGGCAGCGGCGATGCTCGCTGTCGTTATGCCCTGCCGCTGCGGCCACGGGTGGATCTCATGCCGATTGTCCCGCTGCTGCCCAAGTCGAGGGCGAGAAGCGAGGCGAGATGGGCGGAGCTAGGGGTGCAAGTGGGCTTATCCACGAACCCGCTTATAGGCAAAATTAGTATGCAAACTAGACCAGCGGGTTACCTATTAATTTGACCTATAAATGGGTTTATAGATCGACCCACTTACATATCTATATGCGGTAAACCGGACCACGACGCGAAAACCCATGATTTATCATTTATTTGACCTATAAGTAAACTCGTGGGTCAGCCCGCTTGCATTCCTAGGCGAGCAGATGACCGGGAGGAGGAAGGGGTGGGGGCGATGGAGGCCTGAGGCGGAGATATTTACGACGGCGGCGACGGCAGGGCTGGGTAGCGACCGTGCTGCTGCGTCAGATGTGGAGGTGGCGGCTGCTCGAGGCTAGGGATTTTTAGCAGTGCTTCTACTCGTGGGCGGGCGTGACGGCTTCGACGGTGCGACGATACTGAAGTCATGGTGTACGACGGTGTGTCGGTGTTGGAGGCCACCTTCTTCACTGGCGGTGATAGGGGATCGATGCAGGGGAGGCCGATGGAGGTGCTGGAGATGATGCTGGAGATGGTCGCGGAGGATCAACGGTTCAGACCCCTCGTCCCCCGCCGCAGGCCGTCATCCACCGTGAGTCTAGTGGTTACAGTGACCTGAGTAGTACCCCAAGGTTCTGAGTTCAAATCTCCTATGGAGCGAATTTCAGATTGGGTTGTTTGCAGGGTTAAGTTCCCTATTTCAATGGCCGTATATATCTGGTTGGATATAGAGGCCGGGTAAAAAATACCCTTCTCTAAAAAAAAATAATAAAAAAAAATCCACCGCGAGCTGCCTCGTCATCCGCAGCCGTCGCTAATCGTCGCCACCCGTCGTCCTCGCCGCCCTTCCTGGTTCTCGTCAACGCCACAATCGTCGTCGCCCGCTCGTCGCGGCGGCCTGTCCAGGTCGTCGCCGGGATCTTGAGCTTCGGCCGTCACCGCCGCCGGCCGGCAGGGCGCCAGATCTGGTGTCTTCTCTAGTCGTCGGTCTCATCTGGTTGCCCATCTTTAGGCAGCAAAACCACCAACAAGCAGCAGCCCTCTTTTTGACCTCCCATTGAGATAGCAGTAGCACTGTAGCAGCATATGCCTTGTCGTCTTTCATCTTCAAGCAGCAAACCAATAGCAACAACCAACAGCAAAGCAAAGGTTTATCTGCTCATTTTTCTTCTTCCTCTTCAGATCTGTTGAGTTTAGGCTCAAATCAAGCCTCTGCTCCTCAATCTGCAGCAGCAGCAGCAATCCTTTGTTCTAATCCTCATCAAGCAGCAACCACACGTAGTGCTGTTCAGTTCATGTTCAAGCACCAATATTCTTCTTGCAACTGATTGTTATGCTAGTTGTTTGCTGCCATCTAGCACATGTTTTGCTATTGTCCACTGCTTGGTGCTGCTATATATAGTACGGGGTGTTTACATCAGGGGTGTGTAAAGTTTTAGCGTGTCACATCGGATATTACGTAGGGTGTCGCATGGGGTGCTCGGGCACTAATAAAAAAACTAATTACAGAATCCGTCAGTAAACTGCGAGACGAATTTATTAAGCCTAATTAATCCGTTATTAGCAAATGTTTATTGTAGCTCCACATTGTCAAATCATTGAGCAATTAGGTTCAAAAGATTCGCCTCGCAAATTAGTCGCAATCTGTGCAATTAGTTATTTTTAGACTATATTTAATACTTCATGCAGACGTTTAAACGTTTGATGTGACAAGGTGTAAAATTTTTATGTGGGATTTAAACAGGGCCTATATTTCTTGATATAATATCTACATTGCTACTACCATGTCCTGCAGAAAAACACTAAATCAGCCGATGCTGCATACTGTCTACTAATATCCATAGGTCTTTTCCTATTGTATCATTGTGTTTCTGCTTGGGTCAGGCAACTGAAAACCAAGGCATACAGCTCCATGTCCATGTCCATCTAACTGATATTGCATTTGGTCCATCCGCATCAACTGTTCTTCCATATATGTCCAGTATCCACCTTTCATGCTAGCGTCATTTACTACTACTTTAACTCATTTGTTATCCATTAAGTCCACCCCAAAGTCTATTGCCTATCATCAATTCGTCGAAGTCATTCTACTCTAGCCTCTCTTTCTCTCTTCACTAGCTTCATGTCAAAGCTAGCCTCATCATCATCAACTCCCATCGGAGTTAACCATCATCATCAACATCCTGTCGAAGCTCAATCATCAGTTCACTAGTTCCATGTTGAGCTGGCCATCATCATTAGTCAAGGATCGAATAACAGTTTGTGAAGGTCCGTCATCATAACCATCAACATTTCTAAATCTATGAAGGTTCGAAGAACAGTTTGTGAAGGGCCTTCATCCTCTTCATCATCATATCCATATCTCCGAATTAGTGGATGGCTGAAGAACGAATTCGTGAAGGATTTAAAGTACCAAAGGGGCTGAAGAAGAGTTTGCGAAGGCTCCAAGGTCCTCTTCATTATTATCTAAAAAAAGGTCCTCTTCATTGAGGAGGGGATGGATTTTCATCTTCATCATCATTCAAGAGTTGCACACTTCGACAACATCTTCAAGCATTGCGTTTGGACTATCCTAGTGTTTAGTTGTAATTTCCAAATGCAACGTTATTACATAGACGTTGCATTTGAGTGACGGTGTTAAGGATATATGTGTAGTGGACAGTCTTTTCACATTCTTTGTATGCACTTTATATATGGTCTTTGCCTAAATCAATCTATACACTAAAATTCCTAATTCCAATCTCATCTCTCTCGTAACACAAAATATGCATGTAAATGCTAATGTTATAGGAATAAGCTACAGGATTAAGTATATGTTCTGCTAACATTTTGATTTTTTTAAGAAATAAACTAACCTTTTATCTTGGATGTACGTTCTGAGTTTATCAACCAATTGGTGGATATCGCCATCCGGTATTTTTCCAGTGGGTAACGTCACTCCTTGAGCAATCTTTCTTAGAACCTTTTCCAGATTGGGCTTTCGAGAAACTGAAATGAAAGCCGAGCACAAAAATTGGCTTCTGAGGGCATGGTACACTTGGTTTGCAAGAGTAGTCTTACCAAGACCTCCAAAACCAACAATTGACACCACTTTAAGTTGTCTGTAGGAATCCTCATCCTCATTGGTTATTAACTTGTCAATAATATGCTTTGTTGGACCCTCGATACCCACAAGTCTGTCAACCTCCACATAAAGTGCATGCAGTCGAGGATCAATGGCAAAAGAACTAGATTTGGTCAGCTCCTGATTCACAAAATCATACCTCTTGTGCCTCTCGCTTACCTCCATCACGCGGGTCTTGAGTTCTTCGATCTCATTGGCAATCTTATGGCGAGCTTTTAGTTTCTTGAACTTGTGAAAGAACTCCTTGAACCCGGTCGATCCATCGTTGTTGTGATCAACGCGAGACGTGAAGGCATCAATGCAATCCTCCATGTCGTAGGCTAGCTCACGCACCTTGTCCCTCCAATCTTTCATTCGAGGGTTGAGCTCTTCTGAATCCGCCAACATTTGGAGTGCAGCTCTCATGGTACTCAACTCATCTCTTATGAACATAATCTTCTTGTGCACGCGTACTCCCTTGAGCTTGGTATACTCTTCCTCCAGCTGCTTGGAGAGCTTGGAAAGGAGGGGTTTCATCACCCCCGTGGAAACGCTCACAATAGCAGCCTCCATTGTTCTCTGATGTGTGTGGGTAATGTGAGCTGGGGAAGGGGAACATTGCTAGGTTAGGTTGGTTTGGGGTGCATGTGTACTCAAAATTTTCAACGATATGATGTGTCTCAATCAATTAAACCAAAAATATAATACTTCCTCCGTTTCATATATTATAAGAATTTCTAACTTGCTCGTATTCATATATATGTCAATGAATCTAGACATATATGTGCCTAGATTCATTAACATCTATATAAATGTGGCAATGCTAGATATATATGTCAATGAATCTAGACATATATGTGCCTAGATTCATTAACATCTATATAAATGTGGCAATGCTAGAAAGTCTTATAACCTGAAACAGAGTAGGCAATAATTAACTAATGCTCGTATGGTGTATGAATTTCTTGCGCACTCATTCTTTCATCAGCCCAGTGGAAGCTCTGACAAGAGCAGCCTCCATTGCTGTACGATGCGTGCACTATGAGCTCCAGTGAAGCTTCATCTTGTTTATCTTTGCACCAGCACCAATTACTATAAGCATGTTAATTACGGTGTATACTAAATTTTTGCAGCTTATAATATATAGACGCGTCAAGCTTTTTTGACTATGTACAAAGAAAATGTCAATGAAAATACGGCAAGTGAGGTAGTTGTGCATTAACATCTATAGAGTTGGAACCAATCTCTATCTTTGACAATTTCCATGTACATACCTATCCATGAAAGTGACACACACCCTCCGTTTAAAAAAAAAGATCAACTCTAGCTATGAATCTTGACAAGCAAGTATCCAAATTTAGAGTTAGAATTGAGTTTTTTATGGGACGGATGGAATACACAACTAGTCATGCAAATGTGCAATGATTGGAGCCAGGACAATATTACCATCCTTGAGAAATTACTGGAAAGTATATATCAAAGTTTTTAAGTATAAAACTTGAAACCTTCAGGTATTAAGTACATCGAGGTAAAAAATAATTAGTGTAAAATTTAGGTACCTCGAGGTACTTTCTCAAGGACCGTAAAACTTCTCGAAGGTCAAACTAGATAGGTATTTGAATGAGGTTATCCGGTGGGAGATCGATCGATGAAGAAACGGTCGCACATCCATGGATGACCGGTGGCAAAAGGGCGTTTGTAATCACATTTGTGTCCATCACCGGTGAAAACTACTCCATATATGTAGTTGGGGAGTTTGCCATATATTTGATGCTCAAAGTTTCAAAAGCTTAACTAAATAAAGTCAGTAATGCCATTTATTTGAACAAGAAGGGGGTATAGACTTAGGGGTGAAAACGGAGCGGATATTATCCGCTCCGATCCGCTCCGAATCCGTCCGATGTGAGGATATGGTAAGGGTTTTTAGATATCCGGCCAGATGCGGATGCGGATGCGGATTTTATCATGCGGATGTGGTATCAACGATATCCGACGGATGCGGATTATCCGATATTTTGATCGGATTATCCGATGTACTATTTGGCGGATAATCCGCAACTTTTAGTCTTTCAGCCCATCTATTGTAGCCCATCTATTGTAGCCCATCTATTGTGACCTAATCCACTCAATCCTCCCCAAATCTCTCTCTCTCTCTCTCTCTCTGCCAAATGCCTGCGCCGTCTGTCTCTTCCTCTTCACCTCGTTTCCCACACGCGCCGCCGGAGCGCCACTGTCGGCTGGTGGTGCCGCCGATCCTCCATTCGCGCCGGCCGCTCCTCTTTAGCTCCAGCCAGCGTCGCTCCTCCTCAGCTCCAGTTGGCGCCGCCGCTGCTCGTCGTCGGCTTCTCGGCGCCGCCACCATCCCCATCGTCGGCCCGTCAGCCTGTACCGACGAGGATACGAGGTGATGGCGCGCCAGCCGCTTCTCTTCAGCTCCAGCTGGCGCCGCCGCCGCCAGCCCCAGTATAGACAGTTGTCGGCCCGTCGGCCTGTATCGACGAGGACACGAGGTGACGGCCAACGATAGATTAGGTATTGAACTATTGATGTATTGTTTTCTTGTACACTTGCAATCCAATTTGATTATTTGAAGTTTCAAATTTGGGTATTAGAAATGTAAAGATGAGCTTTGCTTGCGGAAATTACATCAATAGCAAGTTATAATTTGATTAATTGTTCATCATTTATTCATTTATTAGGATCCTGTATGCTCTACTGCTCTGTGTTGTATGCTTGTATGGCTTGCCTCATGCGGATGAGTGATGACTTTTATTTTTACATTCTAAGCAACGCAGTGACCAGTGAACTATTGAACTGAACATTTATATTATGTTTTTGATGGATCATGGATGCATCTTGGATTATTTTGACTAGTGAACTATTGAACTGAACAGTGAACACTTATAGTTATACTATTGAAATGAACGTAGTGAACTAATGATGTTTTGCCATTGTATTAGGGCTAATTGTATTGCCGCCCTCTTGTTGTATGGATTGAATACAAACTTGACATCCGACAACTTTTTATCCATTTTCGAACCCCGTACCGACTCCGCACCGAATCCGACGTCCGAAATAATCCGCTCCGCATCCGCATCCGCACGTCATCCACATCCGCTTAAAAAAAATGGTTTAAGATATGGTATAGCTATTATCCGTCCGAATCCGATCCGTTTTCACCCCTATATAGACTAATTGTTGTTGGTTTCATTTAGATCCTATTTTACCTCATTGATGAGTTTAACTCAAATACCAAGGAGTCCTGTGGTCATCATTCTCTAGCTGGATAGCTGCAACCTGTACACTTAGCATCAACCATTCCTCAGAATTCAACGAAACACCCTTCTTAAAAAAAAACATAAATTCAACAAAATTCACCATCAAACAGTAGACTGACTGAGCCCTCTGTTTTCAAGATTGTTTGTATATGATAACATGTTTCTGCAGGAATAATGTGCAAAACCTGAAGGTACCCAAAGACAGTGGTGAAAGGAAGATTCAACAATAGGTCTTCCTTCATCCAAGGGGTGGATCGAACGTCTGGACCAGTGGAGTCCCCCTAGCCTCCCTTCATGTTTATTGGTCATGGAAAGCTTGGTGTCTTTTAATATGTTACTATCCTATTATATTTAGCCCCCTCTAATACATTTTCTGGACCCGCCCAAGCCTATATTAATCTCCTGCAATCAAGAAAAACAAGCCACTAGTCACACTATTGTATCAGTCCGACCTATAAGTTGTAACCAGTGCATCTGTGCATGAGAATCTGTTTATACCTTCGGATAATTGCTTAACGCTGTCTTGACCACCCTGGCACGGAGAGCCCTTCCCCTCCCGTCCCTACCACCACACAGGATTGGGTCAAGAACGCAGAAAGGTTGTATCATTTCCTTCTCAGTCATGCTAGATGAAGAAAAAACAGAAAGGAAAGGAACTAAAAGAAAATAAAAATGAATGATGAGAAGGATGATAAAAAAAAGCATATTATCTACGAGAAACATACATTAATCTATAAGCACATTTGCCCCTTTGAATCGCAGGATTAAGAAAACATAGAAATAGGAAAAACGTAAAATTTTGGTAGGAATGTAAGTGTAAAACAGAGGATTGCAAAACGCAGGAAAAACATAGGAATGATCGTTTGATTGAACTATAGGAAAAATACAGAAATTGGATGAGAGAGATAGACTCAAAAGAAAGTTACCAGGAGGTTGAAGCTCTTGCTAAATTTCCTTCAAAATAGGATTGTCCATTCCATAGGAATTTCAATGGATTGGATAGGATTCAATCCTTTGTTTCAAAGAGCTTCATAGAAAATTTTTCTGTAGGATTGAAATCCTCCAAAATTCCTATATTTTTCCTCCAAATCAAAGGGGCCCGTAGGTGGTAGAAAGTGTTGTCCATCGTTGATTTATGTGTTCTACTACTACCATTAGAAAAATAATATATTCAGTACTAGTATTTGATGTGGTGGTACAAATAAATACTCCCTCCATTCTAAAATATAAGGCACAAACACCCTTAACTCAAAGACTAAGAAATAATTATTATCACCTCATAGTTTGGGTTTCCCTAATAAATAGAATATATTCACCCAATAAAATTAGAGATCTTGATCGTGAATGATTTACATAATAATATTTTTTTACTTAAATTTACATAATAATATTTTAGTGAAAAAGATGTGCTAGTTAATGATATGCTTGCATACATGCCTTATATTATGAAACAACTTTAAAATGTAGTTGTGTCTTATATTATGGAATGGATGGAGTATGATTATAAAAAATAACTAAGTACTCTCTCCATTTCTGGTCTCTCCATTTCTGGTTATAAGACATTTTGACTTTGGTCAAAGTCAAACTATTTTAAGTTTTGACCAAGTTTATAAACAAATACTCCCTCCATACTCGTAAAGGAAGTCGTTTAGGACAGCGACTCAGTCTCCAAAACATAACATTGACTTCTTATTTCTATAAAAATATTTATTGAAAAGTGATATATGTATACTTTTATGAAAGTATTTTTTAAGACAAATCTATACATATAATTTTTACATTTTCAAACTTAACAAATTGAGAGTTATTCATGATTTATATTTTCAAGGTTTGACTTAAACATTGTCCTAAACGACTTCCTTTATGAGTATGGAGTAGTATAATAATATTTATAATACTAAATTAGTTTCATCAAATCAATAATTGAATATATTTTCATAATAAATTTGTTTTGGGTTGAAAATGTTACTACTTTATTCTACAAACTTGGTCAAACTTAAAAGCAGTTTGACTTTGACTAAAGTTAAAACGTCTTATAACCTGAAACGGAGGGAGTAGTAAAAAGCATCATAAAACAAACATAAATAACTATTTGATGGTGAACCGATCGATAAAATCCATTAATACCTCAAATATCGTGTAAAGTGGCTCTTTAGTTGATCCAACTCTTGTTTCACCTTGATCCACCTTGCCAACATCTCTTACTTCGCCTAGATTGACCTCTATTTCATAATTCACACTCCTCTCTTCAAACTGTATGCATGCTTCACGCTGTAACTGAAAACGGAGAACAGGACGGTTGGGAAGTGTCTCAACTGCAGACTGGATCAAACTAGCAGCAAAATTGGTGCTGCTTTTCATTAACTCTTCCTCTGGGTTATAGCATCCATGACTATAATCTGTACCAATAATGACCTCAGCCATGGTGAGGTTGGAGAGATGTCGGATGCCTAAATCAGAAGCACCATTCAGACACTTCCATCTATGTGCATTGAACTTGATCATAAGGTGTTGGAGCTTTGGCATAGATCCTTCTTCAAATTCCAATAATGTTCCACACATATTTATGTGAAGAAAGAAGTATTTCAAGCATCGGAAAGCATTGTAGCTGCTGATGAAGATCCTTCCATTGGTGCCATGAGAAGTAGTGAGCCTGAGAACAAGCAGGGCAGGTATCTCCCCAAGGATATCAATATCTTCCTGTTTTGTGCTGCACAGAGTGAGATCTAATTCTGTGAGACATGCAAGCATGTTCATCCATTTCGGAACATTAGCTATGCTACCGTATTCGATCTGGAACTCCCGGAGGCTACTGAGAGTAACAGGGCACCATGAATCCAGTGAGAGGCCAGGACAATCATTCCAGATAAGGAGATAATGTAGGTCACATAGAGATAATAAATGTTTCATTGAACCTTCTATGGTTGTTCTATGATCTTCTAATGAGTTATCAAGGTTCCATGTCACCCTCAACTTTCTTAGTTTTGTAAGCTGGCCGAATTCTTGTAAAGAATTTCTTGATGAGTATGTAAAAATGTCAAAAGTTTGTAACTCTTCCAAGCTTTGCATCCTTCCAATTCCATCTGGAAATGTAGTGTCATGATTGATAAGTAGACGAACTAACCTCTGGAATGTTGTAATTGCTGATGGAAGGGATTTTATCATAGTCTCTCTTATGTCCAGTGTTTCCAAATATCGTAATTCTCCGAGTTTTTTTGGGAGCTCAGTTATATACCTTGATCCGAGACTCAAATATTTCAGATGAAGCAACATTTCTATACCAGTAAGATGATGGTTTTGTAACTTTCTACAATCTTTTAAATCTAGCACACGTAGAACTTTGAAATCCAACAATGATGGAGTTTTCACAAAGTAACCAAATATAGTAAGTGATCGGACATTTTTCAGACTCAGGTTTGTTGCCATGATGACGTTTTCCTTTCTGTTATTCTGGAAATATACTCTACGAGGTTCGTCAATTGGGATGGGTTTGAACTCTGTTGTATCTAATAAAGTGGTGAAGTTCTCTTCAGCTGCCTTGCATGTTATGAAATCAAGAATGATGTCATGAACCCGACATGCCACTGGTTTACCATATTGGACATCAACTGGTTGGATCAAGCTTCTATTGATGAGTTCATGGAAATAATGCTCACCGGTTTTATATGCACTTCCCTCTTCTTCATGAATGAGGCCTTCAGCAATCCATCTGTTTATCAACCGCTGTTTGTTGATCTTGTGATCTTCTGGAAATAGACTTAAGTACAATAAACAAGTTCTTACATGGTAAGGAAGATCATAGTAACTGAAAGACAATATTCTTCTCATATTTCCAGCATTAGGATCCTTTGCAAGTGCAGAACCGATTGCTGCTAGCACCCTCACCCATTCATCTTTTGCATACTGATCAGCCAACAAACTAGAAATAGTTATAACTGCCAATGGTAGGCCACCACATTTTTTTATAATTCCATTAGAAACTTCTTCCAGATGAGGATAGTATAGGTTTTCTGAACCAAAAGCTCTTTTAAAAAACAACCTTTTAGAGTCGACAAAGCTGAGAGGTTCCATATGATAAACATAGCCTCCATGATAAGAGCACTTTGATGCAACAGCAGTGTTACGTGTTGTCGTGATTATTCTGCTGTCACAGTTGTTGCTCAGCAATGCAAGTTTAATAGTTTCCCATGCTTCTGTAGCCCATACATCATCTATTACAACTAAGTACCTGCAGGATTTTAGATTTGAATCAGTGCTTAAAGGTTATGATTTCATTAGGCATTTTGCTATGGTGAAGGTGAAAGAACAGGAAGAGGGAAGTGGTTGTCTCTTTGCTGAAATTTTGACTATTTGGATCTTTTCAGAAATTTATTTCAAGAATGGACCATACAAAAAAATTCAACCAAAAATGGACCCTGACCTCAGCAAGAATGTGTATGAGATCAATTAAATTCATTCCAAATTACGGTGGGAGAACACCTTCGACAATAAGTTGAGCTATGAACCTCGATACACAATATGGCCCCATTGGGACAACGCCACAACAGCATCGTCTGGAAGCTCACCCTGAGCAGGGAATACACAGCACAGTTTACAGACTCCAATTCCTAGGGGCAGCGAGAACAATTTTCAATGAGACAATTTGAAAATGTTGGGCGCCACCGAAATGCAAATTCTTTACATGGCTGGTTCTGTGGAACAGAGTCTGGACAGCAGACATACTATAGAGGAGAGGTTGGCTAAACAAGGACTATAAAAATCACTTTGGTAGAATTAAATGCGACTCTTTATGAAATGGCAAGATGAGGTTCAAGAGAGTTCATGAAACCTTTTAGTAATATCCTATCACTAGTGGGCCTGCAATTTGGTAAGATACTACTTTCTCAGTCAAAAAAAAAAGAAAAACCCTAGTTTCCGTGTCCAACGTTTGACCGTCCGTCTTATTTGAAAAAATTATGAAAAAAAATTAAAAAGACAAGTCACGCATAAAATATTAATCATGTTTTATCACCTAACAAGAATGAAAATACAAATTATAAAAAAATTTCATATAAGACGGACAGTCAAAGTTGGACACGGAAACCATGGTAAATTGCACTAGCGGTCCTTAAACTTGTAACGAGGTTTCACTTAGGTCCACGAACTTGCAAAGCGCACATCGAGGTCTCTAAACTTGGTTTATTGTATCATCCCGATCCAAAGCCGCGTTTGACCGTGGTCTTGCCTACGTGGCACGCCACATGGACGATGACATGGCACAAATTTTAATTTTCCTTTTTTCTCTCCTTCCTCCACCTCTAGATGCATATGTGGCAGGCAAAGGGAGAGAGGGAGCCAGCGAGACCGGTGCGAGGAGGCCGTGGGCGGGGTCGGCGACCTGCCGGCGGCGCAGGAGAGAGGCGGGGAGAGGCGGTTGCCGACCGGTGCGAGGAGGCTGTGGCCGGGGTCGGCGACCTGGCGGCGGTGCAGGAGAGAGGAGCTAGCGACTGTCGAGAGGAGAGGAAAACTCGGCGGCGGCGTCGTCTTGGCTCGAGCGGAAACGGGCGGCGGCGATGGAAGGGAGAGGCCGGCACGGGGGAGCTCAGGGCAGTGGCGTCGGCGCGGGCGGTCGCGTGCGAGGCAGCCGGCACGCGACGACGCGGCTGAGGCGACAGCGGCGTGTAGGCGCGGCGCAGCTTGGCATGGCGCCGGGAGAGGGGCAGCGGTGGGATAAGGGAGGGGAGCTCGGTGTGGGAGAGGAGGCTGCCCAGGCCGGGCGTGGCACGAGGCAGCGGGGCGGTGGCCGAGCGCGGCGGCACGGCCGGGCGCGCGCACGGGAGGGAGGTTGCACAGCTCAGGAGGAAGGTGGTGCGGCGCGGTGGCTTGGCCACGCGCGGCTAGGAGGCGACGCCGAGGGGAGGAGAGGAGGAAGGGACACGCGGCTGGGAGGCGCCGCGCGGCGTGTCCTCCCCCAATCACCGTCGTCCTCCCTCCCTCCCGTCAATGAGGCTTTGGCTGCCCCGGCGACACCTCCCCCCTCGCGCACCTCAGCCGCTTCCGCATGAATGACGTGCCGCCCTCCTCTTCGCCCCACCACTCCGGCGGTGGCCCCCACATGGCCGTTGTCGCCGTCGAGCTCGCGCTGCCCAGCTCGAGCTCGCCCCACCGCCCCGCTGCCGTCGTCGAGCTCGGGCCCGCCGACGCCTCCCCCCGCACGCGCGGCCGCGGTCGGCGACCCCTCCCCCCGGGAGCGGCTGGCGACACCACCCCCCGTGCGCGCCTCGGCCTCTTCGCCCCACCACTCCGGCGGTTGCCCTCACATGGCCGTTGTCGCCGTCGAGCTTACGCCGCTGAGCACGAGCTCGCCCTGCTGCCCCGCTGCTGCGGCTTCTCTCCTCCCGCCAGCCGACACCCGCGCGCCGCTCCTTTCTCGCCGGCCGCTGGCCGCGCACGCGCGCCGCTCCTCTCCTCCCGTCGGCCGGCGCCCGAGCACGCCCGCGCCGCTCCTGCCCCGCGTCCCCTCCGACCACACGAGGTGAGGAAGGAGAGAAAAGATGGGGAGAAAAAAAGGAAAATTAAAATTTGTGCCATGTCATCGTCTACGTGGCACGCCACGTAGGCAAGACCATGGTTAAACGCGGCTTTGGACCGGGATGATACAATAAACCAAGTTTAGGAATCTCGATGTGCGCTTTACAAGTTCGTGGACCTAAGTGAAACATCGTTACAAGTTTAAGGACCGCTAGTGCAATTTACTCTTTTTTTTTTATGGAGGGAGTATCTGCTATGCATTTAAGTCTAGTCTACCTATATTGCATAGTTCCATTCATTGGCTCAGCCAAGTAGCCAACATGCCGTGCACAGAAATAATTTGGAAGATCTGAATACCATTGAATAATACAAATTCTTTGCATGGCTAGCTGTTCAAGATAGATCATAGCAGGGGCGGATCTAGAAAATTTTTTAAGCCAAGGCAAGCCTAGTGAGATATAAGCTTACATATAAAATACATACAACTACATATAGACTATATATGATTTAATCTGTAATGTAGTAGACTAAAATCGATTGGAAGTTTATATCGATTATTGTAGCATGGGAGACTAATGTTCCATCCGTCCCAAATTATAAGGCTATACTTTTTTTACACGGTCTTCAATAACATACTTTGTCTAGTACTTTATTTCATTCTATGATCCCAACAAATATAAAATTAGCATCACATAAACTACTTTAAAATATTAATTTAGTGATATAGCATGTATAATACTTAGTATAGATATAGTTAGTATGATTATTAGTCAAAAGCTACCGAGTTTGATTTTCCTTAAAAGGGGTGCCCTATAATTTGAGACGGATGGAGTATATTCTTGCATTAGCCTTAATTACTTTAATTTACTAATTTCCTTGTTAATTAAGTAGGGATTAATGTTTGCAGTGTTATTATTGCAAATCTCCCCAATGGAAGGGAATGGTGAAACAAAGCGTATTGCACACCGTGCAAAAGTAAGATAGTGAGACAATAATCAGGGAGGGTGATGCTACAAATTGTACAAGTAGTAGTTGGCCCATCTGGCCATAGCGTCTGGTACATGTTGGTGGGATTAGTCCACATGGTGAGTTCAGATGTGATGGGGGCGGCATATAAACTCGAGTCATGAGTTCCAACCTTAGTACTCTACCTCTGAATTATACCATTTTACACAAAATGATGATAAAAGTGTGCCTGGATGCTAGGGGTACGTGTAGGCTCGTATCTAGGCAAGTGCAAGATGAGCGACCCTGCAGGTCCCTAAAATTAGGGGCCTCAAAACAAATTTATTTCAATCCAAGCCAGTGTGTTACAACATGTTTCAGGACTTTCTCATTCTATTTTTCAAGTTCCAGTCTTATTTCTCCTTCACTAATCTGGTTATAACAAGATTGTTTTTCTTTTCTCCAATAAGTGTACAATGGTAATCAGGGCTGCATCAAATAACTGTAGTTCATGTTAATGATAAGAACACGCTTTTCAAACATTGAAGATTTTTTTTTGTACTTGCTACAGAAAACTGAATGTCACAACCCTTTCTTCCCAAAATTAGGCAAAGTGCTACCATGGTTTGTGAATTAATTTCTTAGTCCCTCCATCCTATATATGTTCATAATTTCGACGAAAACCGGTCAAATTCCGCGAAATTTCGAGGTTTCGACGAGGCTCGAAAGTAGAAGCCGTCTGAGATTTCGATGAGTTTCATCCAAATTCAAATTTAAATTGATAAAAAAGGAAAAAATCAAATAAAATCTTATAAATAGTATGATATTCATAGAACCTATTGGGATATAAATTTTCAAAAAAACTGATGTATTCCATGTATTTACTGAAATTTACAATAGGAAAGAAAAGAATAACGAATTAAAAAAGGAAAACAATTTTAGTTTACCTCTATTTATAGTTATTGATTGAAATTTCGATGATTTCGCTCGGAATTTCGCCAAAGCCGACCGGTTTTCACAAGCTTATCGGTAAACTCAGAGAATTTGTATTCAAATTTTGGTTTATGAAATTTGTTCGGAATCTACAAATTTTGGTTTACGAATTTGAATTTGTATTCAAATTTTGGTTTATAAAAAAGGAAATTTGTTGTATGCCCAAAACGGAAGGCCATCTCAGAATCGTAAATCCTGCTAGGGCCTCAAATTCTTGGGTACGGCGCTATTTACATGGACCTGCTCCATGGAAGAGCTAGGTTAATGTGGATTTTGGAAGCTAGGGATGTTACAATTGGTATTAGCGTTTAAACCTTCCCTACACAAGCACGTGTATATAGGACCCTGGATGGGCATACAACACGATCATGTACAAGCCGTGGTTCTGGATATCAGTTGCACATACGGTTTGCCGCTGAGCCGCTGAGGGCATCATATCATTCATTAATGGAGGTGAACATAATACCCGGGAATATATTAGTCCTACATTGAGAGTTCAAATCGGTTGGGGCGCATATATCACAACAATTGAAGAATTTTTTTTTTAAAAAAAAACTGATGCAATATTTATATGCATTAAACCTTATCAAAGAATGTTACTTAGACCATGTAAGCATCTGCTATATCTATCTAGGATCAAATACGAATTTTAATTCCACAATCATGCATGTAAAATGCCATGGCTGTTTGCATACCTTTTATCTTGGAGTGTATCTCTAAGTTTATTGACTAGTTGCCTCTCATCATCATTAGGAGACCATGGTTGTGTGTTGTCAAGACTGTTCACTTCTTTCAGCATGTCTCTTAATATCTTCTTTATGTCAGGGTTCCGGGACACAGACACAAAGGCTGAACAATCAAATTGGTGTCTGATTTCCTTGAACACCTGGTTAGCCAGAGTAGTCTTGCCAAGACCGCCACAACCCACAATGGACACGACTTTAAGATCTTCTCTTGATCTATCACTCCTCTTGTTGGTCAACCATTCAATGATGTGCTCCCTAGGCCCTTTGATGCCAACAAGCTTATCTACTTCCTCGTAGAGCGCCGGCAGTCGAGGGTCGATAGTAAAAGTGGCAGAGCTGCTGGACCATGGCTTGAGAAGATCATACCTCTTGTGTCGCTTGCTCTCCTCGACGACATGGGCCTTGAGTGCCTCGATCTGGTTGGCAATCTCATGGCGAGCTCTCAGCTTCTTCAGCTTGCGAATGATCCCCTTGATGAGGCCCTCGCCTCTCTCCTGCTGATGGCTTATTACACGGACCTCAAACGAGTCGATGCAGTCGTCGATGTCGAATGTGAGCTCACGGACCTTGTCCCTCCACCTCTTCACGGGGGGGTCGAGGTCTTCCTCTACATCGGCCAGCACGCGGAGCGTGGCGTTCATGGCGCGGAGCTCGTCACGCAGGAAGGCGATCTGCTGCTGCACGCCCTTGAGCTTGGCGTACTCGTCTTCCAGCAGCTTGGAGAGCTTCGCGATGACGGAGTTCATCACCCCCGTGGAAGCGCTCGCAAGCGCGCCCACCATGGCTGATCGATCGATCTCTTGTCTCTCTCTCTTGTCGACGCTGAGCATGCACTGAGCTGGTAGATACTGTAGTAGAAGCCACAGGAATTGGTGGCTCTATTATTTATTGTCATGAAAGAAATTAAGGTCTATGGGGTCAACTGTCAATATTAATTAATTATTTACAACCTTCTCATCGTTTTCCTATTGAAAGCACTTTCTCCGTTCGGCTGACTGTAACCTGCCTCCCTCGCCTCTTGTTTTGTAGCAGTTATACGTCATCCATATCCTGTGTAGATATGTGTCTAGAAAGAAAATGTTGCATTTTGTAAGCATATAGAGCTGTTCTTTCAGCCTCCCACGTAATTTACTATTTGCCACTCTCTCAAAATATCAGTGCTCAAATGCCACTCTCCCAAATTTTCATTCCTAAATATCATCCGGGCCCATATGCCAGTCTCACTCAGTATCGGGTCCCGCATCACTTTTGTTTGAATGGAAAGTGAGGCTGACATGTGGATCCGGATGGCATTTAGGAATGAAATTTGGGAGAGTGGCATTTAAGCACTGGCATTTTAAGAGAGTGGCAAATAGTACGTAGGTAAGGAATTGTTTGACAGAGAGCTCACGGGTTGGTTCATTCAGATTTCACGATACGTGGATGTGTCAATGAACCTCGTGTTCATTGTTTGTGTTCAGTGTTGGTGTACTGTGCACATCCTCGATATTTAATTTTTAAATATTATAATGTAAATTTCGAATCGTACGCTATGTAGGAGAACAAGCAAAATCTCCACAATTTCTTGCCCTCGATCTCCACGGAAAACCGCCCTAATTATTCAAGGATAGAAAATATAGAATATTAAATCATCAAACTAAACCAGATTTGACTCCATGCACATAAAACATGCTTCACTTGGTGCATCTGTTCATATTCAAGCCCATACTCGTTTGTTTGTTGTGTTAGGGAGAGAAGTTAAGTGGTGTGTGGGAAGGAACGTATATCAGGCACATTAGGAGTAGTATCAGGCCACTAGCAAGTTTCACGATGAGTTCCCCACCCCCACCCCGCCCGCCCTCACTGGGCGCCACTGCGATCCCAGCACCCACCCCACCGCCGGCCTCCACTCCGGTACCGGCGTCCCCCAATCCCCTTTGCAGGTTCCCCCTCTCCGTTCACATCGCCGTTTCCGTGTCAGTCTCGGCTCCCTCTCAGGTGAAGGTTCAGAGGAGGACATATCTATTCCGCCCCCAGATGCTCCTGGCGGATCTGCTCGAGCCAGCGTTGAAGGGAGCAGGTGGCGCCACCTCCGCGCTCTCATCCGGCTCCGCGACCTCGGCTGGATCCTCGCACCCTCTGGTGCTCCTTCGTCGAGCCGTGGCTACAGCAGTTACTCCGCCAGCTGCCTCCTCTGTGCAGGTAAGGGGAGTTACTCTCAGAAGCCTCCTGCGCTGATGGTACAGGCGACGACTTCCGCCTCGCGCATTCCCAACGAAATCCCAGCATATCCTTCGCAGCAGGCATGGCAGATTGTGAAGCCGAAGCATTGATGGAGGAAGAAACCTTCTCTACCAGCATTCAATTCAAATCCCAGCGTATCTGAGAAAGCTTTCAACGCTCGAGTCTTCACTCCTCACCACCTACCAGGCAACAAGCAGGTTTACCATGAGCCTCCTCAGCCAATTCAAAGCAGGATCTCCTTCCTGGAACTCTTTAAAAGGAAGGCAACTGGAAGATGTTTTTGCTGCCTCGCCAAGGACCACCGCATTGCGGACTGTAGAGACCCACCCAGGTGCATCCTCTGCTTTGCCTCTGGCCACCGTGCTCGCCGCTGCCCAGGGGCTTCAGTTCAGAAGAAACAGGTTCACCAGAAGCAGCCCCTGTCTCCTCGCCTAGCGCCGGCCCCTCCACTTGCCAGCTGCCTGGTGTTCCTCCCCTCCCTACAATGGCGCGTCCAGGGGACCTAGCCAACCGGCTGGACAGCATTCAGCGCTGCATACCGTGGTCGACTGCGGTCCGTGAGGAGGAGGGCTTACTGTCCAGGTCTGCGGCTGTGGTCCGGATCACAGGTAACATGCCTGTGACAAATGCAGGGTAGATCAATAGGTTGATTGTGACCAAGTTCTAGCTCCCGCGGGACGAGCTTACGGTGGTGGTTTTCCCTAAAGGTGTCTACCTCCTCACCTGCACCTTGAGCACTCTCAGTGACAGCGTGGTGGCGGCGAGTCCGTTCTCTATTGAGGACATCAACTTCTCGGTCAAGCCGTGCGAGTTCAGGCAGAGTTGGTAGACTGGCGCTTTAGCGTGCGTGTCTGCTTTGAGGGCATTCCCAGCCATACTTGGTCTGTGGATACAATTGCAGGCATCCTCGATGAGGGTTGCCTGGTCCAGGATCTTGAGGAGCCAAAGACGGAGACCAAGACCGCCTGCCTGTGTGCTTGGATTTGGTCCGAGGATCCTGATGCCATCCCGAAGGCGGTTCACTTCCAGCTGGAGGAGCCGCTTCTGCAGAACTCTCCTGACTCCTTCTGGCTTGAGGACCTGGGGGAGTCAGGGCTGGAACGCAGACGGACTGTCTCGTCGAAGCTTCTCACTTATCAGGTGCTGATCCACCTTGACCAAGTGCTTGACTCCAGTCCTCCTCCGATGGAGCCAGTCTGGGGCTACAGCCCTAGTAGCCAGGGCAGTGGCATGATCTCTTCGGCCTCAGTGACTGAAGAGGTGCCAAAGCGGCACGATATCATTTGGAGCTTAGGAGTCAAGGATGGACAGCGCGCCCCTCGCGAACATGTGGCGGCGAGGCTGGGACCAGGACGCAACCGCTCTCACTCATGCTCCCGCTCTCCGCCGGCGCATGAGCATCGCCGGCCTTCGGGTTGGGATGTTCCCCCTGCTCGCACGACGGCTCCAACCAGGCGCTCCTCCTCCAGGCCACCAGACCACAGGGGTGGTTCCTATGGTGGCTATCAGCGGGCGGCGACGTCTCCGGTTAGAAGGGAGCGCACCAGGTCCCCTCGCAACAGGCAGTCCCCTCCGCCAGCCCCTCGCCCGCTGGTACCCCAGACAGCCTCCCCCCCTCCCCCGCCGTCAGAGGGGCTGACGGAGTTTCGCCCACAGGAATCGCAGATTGTGCCTTTTCCACTGACTACTCCTTTTGCGACTGTGCTACAAGTTGACCAGCTAGCTAACTCCATCGCCGGCTTCGATGCTCCAATGATGGCGATCCCCCTGTCGGTCGACCCAATGTTGGAGGAGGTTGGCCTTGGCAACATCGCTCCGCCGCCAGAGCAGTCCCTGGAACAGCCGCAGGCCCAGCCGCCGGAACAGGTCCAACCGCCTGATTTGCACGATAAGCTAACGGCTTTCCTTGAGCATGTTTTCCAGGAGGTCCAGCCTCCGCCGCTGCCGACCCCAGCTCGCCAGGTGCAAGCGCGCCAGGCTCCAAAGGAGCGCACGGCTGGCAAAGAAGGTTGCTTCTCGCCTCGCTCCGGCCAAGCCTGGTGATCGTGCCCAGGAAGACCTGATGAAGAAAGCTGGCTTGATCTCCCCAGATGGCAAGAAAACAGATCAAGCGATGACAAAATACGTGAAGCTATTCAAGCAGCCCCTGTCCGCAGAAGTGATCGATGCTTTCTCTACCCTGGTGGCCGGCTGTGCCATTGGTGATGACAAGAAGCCAAAGTGACTTGTGCTGTGTGTGTGACTAGCTAATGTATCAGTGTTGTCCCTAGTTTCTTATGCCGTTTCTTAGGTCTAATCTGTGCAAGTCTGTCTTAGCTTCTAGTTGTTTGAAACCTGAGATGGTTCCCAGAGGTTGTAGTTTGCTGGCAGGAAAGTGCTTTTGGAGTTTTTGGGTTGTGTCAGGTGATGATAGGGAGGCTGTTTGCTCCCTTGTACCCTGCTAGCCCCATCTTAAGCATAATGATGCTACTAATGAAGAAACTAAAAGTGTCTTCCACTGCCTCCTTTGTACTGATTGATCCTGCACTCCACTACATGTTCAGTTGTCCAGGTTCTGCTGTACAGGTTCAGCCGATTGATTCTACTGTCCATGTCCTCATCCAGCTGACAGATAAATACCAAGCAAAATGAATGTTTACAAATGAATGTGCTATTCTGAGCTGGAATATTAGGGGGCTGAACTCCCCAGCCCGACAACAGGTGGTCAGGAATTTAGTTAGAGACCTCAACTGCACTGTTGTTTGCCTGCAGGAAACAAAATTAGATTTCATCGACCAGGCAAATTTCAATAGGTTATTAGGGCCAACATTCTCAGAAAACTTTTGTTTTCCTTCTACCTCAGGTACAAGGGGAGGTGTCTTACTGGCGGCAAATGACAACAAATATGAGTTAAAGGATGCACACACAGGTACTTACACAGTGTCGGCCACACTCACAGAGAAGGAAGATAGAGCCACCTGGAGCTTAACAGGAGTATATGGCCCTCAACAGGATGATGCAAAAAGAGAATTCCTAGAAGAATTAAAACAACTAAAGCAGGTAATGAAACCAATTTGATTAATTCTAGGGGACTTCAACCTGATCGTGCATGACAGGGATAAAAACAATGCAAATCTCAATAGGGGCATGATGCAAGCCTTCAGGGCTGCCCTAAATCATCTGGAAGTTCTAGAAATCAAATTAAATGGTCAGCGTTACACATGGTCCAGTGAAACGGAGTCCCCAACTTTAACGAAGATTGACAGGGTGTTTTGCTCACAGGGATGGGAGGAGAGATTCCCAAATTGCCTCCTAGCAGCCATCTCTACCTTGGTCTCAGACCACTGCCCTCTATTACTCACTGCAAATCCCTCCAGACCAAAGAGTAACATCTTCCGTTTTGAAAAGTACTGGTTGCGCCTCCCAGATTTCCTAGATACAGTCCAACAAGCTTGGAACAAGACAGTACACACGACAGATGCAATCAAGCGCCTCCACACAAAACTTTCTAGGACGGCAAAGGCCTTAAGTGTTTGGAACAAGAGCAGGGTCCGTGGAATTAAATTGAGAACAGACATTGCGAGCGAATTGATTTTCAGGCTCGACCTAGCTCAGGAGGAACGCAGTATGTCCCCTGCAGAGCTCACGTTCAGACGCTTCCTAA